TTGTATGTATTTATCAATGTTCTGCATGTGAACTATTCTGTAAGGGTGTTGTAACACTGGTTGATTCATCTCTGGTTTAGTTGGGAAAACCAGTTTGCCAGTATTGTGTGTTCAGCACTGGCTCATTAGTGTGTCAATGGGACAATAAATTGGCCCTCAGTTTGCTTTGTGGGTTATCTTTTGTAGATATAGGTACTATTAAGCACGAAGTGGGTCTTAGGGTCTTAGAAATCATTCTAAGGTTAATTAATCATTTTTTTCTACATTTAAGTTGATATTACTATAATAGGTAGGTACTTAAGTATTTGGATCACAATTTAATTTTACTACAAAACTTCTTCTTTGTTCATTCAATGTTAATATGTTAACACTTTTAGTTATTACATCACTATCTACAGTTCCCTTTTAATTTTAAATAACAAAGTACATTCATCACCAATTAGTGTATACTTTCGAAAAGCAACCTAAATACTTGTACAGGCCCTGCAATGAATGAAATAACAATAAATGTATATGTCAGTACCTACAATTAATGAAATGAGTGGAGCACGTGCCGCTTGCCATTTCACAAGACACGGCTCCTACACAGTTCTACCCTATTTACATCGAAATAACTTATGTAACAGCATACAATTACTTAGATTAACAAAATTATGTTGCATTCTGTTGCCTCATTGTTAACGTTGCAACAGCCGGCAACACAAGATCTGTGCTAGTGATAAACACATTTGTTTGTGCAGAAAAATGTCGAGATGTCGTGAAAGTCGATTGATTTGCGTGTAAATTGACCAGGATTAAAGGTGTATATAATAAAAATTTATGATATACTGATCGTAAAGGCTATGTTTCAAAATATTCTTAAGTAATTGCATACACTTATGATGTTCGTTTTAAACTTTATTGCTATAAATGCTACAACTTGCTTAGAGCTTGAGCTAATCAACCAGTTGCAATTTGACCATTGATAGATTAAGGGGCGATTTTTCAACAGTTAATTCTTAACTGTATAATAAAATTGAGAGTTTACAGTTTTTATTGTGGAAGATTGTCAAATATACAAACTTATTTCTCTAATAAAATTTCACTGGCTTTGTAACAATCGGCCCTAATATAACAAAGCTATCTTTTAGTAGAGTTTTGACCCAAATGGTTTATTTTTTTTATTTTTTTTAAAGGTGTGAAAATCATCAAATGGTTCAAATCAATTTGGTTTGCAGTTCATTTCAAAATCCTGTTTTTGCTAACTAACTTTATTAAATGATAGATATTATTGAAACAGACCGATACTAAAACATATTTGGACACATCACCTGATAATCATCATGATAATATCTTTCACCCTTCTTACTAAAAAACTCAGAGTTAATAAATGTAACTATATTCACAAGGGACCACAGACAGGTGTGGGTAGTAGTCACTTTTCGACAGTTGGCCATAAAACTGGTTTACTGTCAATATTGCATGCTCGGTCTTGACCTGCATTTTGGTGAATGGATGTACCTACTTACGTAGAAATGGGAGCCATTTCTCTTTCTTAATTATTATAGTGAGCAAGTGAGTATGTTTAAGTTGTACAATTTTCTTTGGTCGCATTGTCGTAATGGCGGCGGCACAGAACATATAAAGAAGGCGGCGGCTGTTGAACACGAGGTTTCAAGTTCAAACTTGATATATGTTTTACAAAGCATATTCTTTAATGTTGTCAACATTTTTTTGTGATAGGTATACAAAAGTAAAAGCTCAATAACATTTTACTCGAATCTCGAAATTAACAAGAAGACAAGAGGTACCTGCCAATCATTCTCAGAAGTAACAGATTATTGTCCAAATATTGAAACGCTAGTCAGTTTTAAGTCGCGCTTAAGTGTAGTTCTGGCACTACAAATTCTTTGTAAAATGAAAGAGTTGCAACGATATTTGAGTACAACTTAAAATTGAGTAGCCTTTCGGTATTCGGGCGTAGGTATATCAATGAGACATTTTTTTATGGGGGGAAAATCATCGAATGACTGCTCCCGCCTGGGTGAGGCAGGAGGGAGTATCAGACTCTTACTGACTAAAAACCGCCCCGTTCTCCTGCACCGACGTGCAGGAGACCGACGTGCACGAGTCCGGCTCGACAGCCGGAGCCCCGGTTACCCGTTAGGTTCTTCGCGACATCAATGAGACATTTAAAAGATGGTCCATTTACGTATTTATAGGTAAGCCGCCTAAGAATACCGATAGCAGAAGCTTTATAGTTAAACGTCCTGTGTAAAGAAACCCTACAGTCCAGAATACTACCACAGATTATCGAAGAAGAAGCAAGATTTAACATTTGTTCATTCTCGATTCGATCTCTTTGTCTGGATTTTGGTGTTACCACAGTGTTACATTGTTCTCGCACAATCGAACCGACAAAACTATGTACCAAGAAAATTGTATTGTAAACCTCATTTAAAAAGAGTAACCTATAGAGTTTCTTGATCGTTCTTCTCCATAGGAATCTACACCTTGGAATGAGCAAATAGCTTCACTTTAATTTTTTTGTTGATGTTCAAAAGTGCCTTTGTGGTAATAGAAATAAATGATTTTGACTTTGACTTCTCATTGATTTTTCAACAGAAGGAAAGTTGCCAATAAACATGAAGACATTGCATAGTTATGTTTGTTAGCTTACTAACAGCTAGTGAGTGGCAGTGAACTCAAAGTTAGAGAATTTTAGTAATATTTACTCTTTTGATAAACAATTAATGTCCATGTGAATATGATTAGGTAACTGTCGTGAATTTTTGCTGTTGTTCTATAAAAACCAACCTGATAAAACGAGAAAATTCTTAGGACTGAGTATTTAGCGTAAATGATGTTGAGTCCAATAACAATGAGCAGTGCAAGGACGTTGAAAAAAGGTGAACATAATGTCACTTAGAAACGATCGAAGCACCAAAAATCAGTGGGTCATTAATGTGTGCGTGTGTAATGGGTTACCACGTTACCAGACTTAAGAAACTGACAGATGTACTTCGTGTCAATGTGTATATGTTCTGCGTGTACGTCTATAGTAGCCAGGTGGCACAGTCGTTGAATAAAGAGACTGTGTCCGCCTTTTTTCAATGTCTTTGGAACATTGCTTCAAATTAACGAAATTAATCCCCATTAAGAAAATTCTCAAGACAAGGTTTGTATCATTGACATCGAGATAAGATAAGACGCGAACAAGCCCAGACGTATTACTAACGAAAATTGAAATAACTTCTTATTGAAATTCAATCACCTCCATGCAGCATCAAGTGTCACAAAGTTGCAAGTAAAACGAGACCTTTTTCGGTAATCACAATTGATTTACATCACTAAAACTGATCCCAATATTATCCATGCATTGCTTAAACCTTAGTCCAAAGCAGTTGCTTAACTTCTCGAGTATATGGGAGACAAAACGATTACTCGATTGTCTGTCACTCAGTCGATAGTTTGCGAACATGACTAGTAAGGTTTTGCAAGCGTTGTGAAACAACGGATACCTATATGAAGGACATTTGTCATATTTACATGAGATCTTCGATGAACGCAGTTTAGCTGTTACTTCGAGTGTTTCAAGATGGTATTGTTGCATAAGTTGCCTATTCTAGACAGCTTAAGATATCTACCAAAGAGAGGGTATTACTTAAGCTGGATTAAGAGTTGTAGGTATATTAACACGTCAACAGAAAAGATAGCGACATTAAGTGAGTATATAACTCAATGTTTCCAAAATGAACTCGCTGAGACAAAAGTGTAGAATCTCATTTAAAGCACAACGTAAAATAAAGTGACTGTAGTTGTGTCGATAGCACATAAAAGACATTAGCCAGGTTTATACATAATTCTTTAATAGTCTACTTGAAGCAAAAAAATATTATCAAACAGAAAATTCCTACTAGATTGTACGCGTAATATTACAAAATAAATCAATCGGACAGGCACTACCCATTATAACACAGCAATCGTGGGTTGAGATACTTTAATATTACTCAAGCTTTACAAATTATAGTGGGTTGATCAAAACCTATTCAAACGGCGCGGCGTGTCCGCCATTATAAGCCGTCATGATGGTGAAATAAGTGCAGAGAGATATACCTCGTGATTCAAAGGAGCCTAACTACGCATCACGTCTTTTATTTCCTGAAGGAGTGTAGAAATCTACTTAGATACCGACCAGTCTGCAACTATTTTACCTGTAGGCTTATAAGGTAAGAGGGACTAAACAGAGGCATTAAAAACTATGTTTGACCTGAGAGTCGAACCTATAACATAGGTACACGTCAAGCGCATTTTGTAAACATTCTAATACTCCGGCATCATAATGACAGAAATCAGGAAAAGGACCAGAGTTTCAGAATGAAATATGCATCATCATTTGTGTTTGGATTTCGTTAGTAAGTTAACATTAATAAAATACATAGTTCTTGTCTAGGGATACAGGCAATGTCGCCTGTCTTCCATCAGGGAAGATTCTGGCCCACTCACAAATAAAGTTCACTACCATAATGTCCCTTCTCTAACCCATTTCTTTCTTTTCACATCGCTCATCTTCGTTAAACAGTTAGTTTCTTCATCTTTCGTGTCTAATCAGGTACTTGTAAAAAACTGTAATCTCAGCCTCAATCTATTAGGAAATAACATTAACATGAACGCTGCTTCAATATTATCAAAGAGGTCACATCAAATGCCTTCCAAGTAATCTTGACTTGGTTTTATGTAACCTTTAGTTCTGACCTTCCAACAATGCTGTTTTCCCTATAACGGTATTAAAAGAAACAATGCCATTTATTTCCATTAAGTGATTTTTCCTTAAAATATCTTGATTGATGAATGTAGATGATGCAAATTAACATGATGATATCAGAATCTTATCATTTAACGTTCTATTTTATCTGTCTACCACTCTTTGCTAAAACTTTGAAGAATGCTGCTGCGTCTCATCATCTTTTGAAGAACCAAAAGTTTAACTTAGTGTTCTCCATCTTTTCAAGTTATAAAACATGTCTAGAAGAACCGAAAAACGTTTCCTGACCGAAGCTGATGAGTACCAGTGCCCACTCTCCGCAGACACACAGAAGGTAGCTGAGGATGAACTCCGGGAGACTGAGAACTCCAGGTCACAGGCTTTGGCGGCACTCAGGAGCTGGATGGAGCAAAACCCCAAGTTTATGGCTATAAGAATGGGTAAGGAGACTTACGAAAGATTCAGGGCTATATGCTGACGTCATCCGTTTTGTCATTATCAGTCTAAATGTATGTACGGTTTCCAACGTGTTAAAAAGTTTATGTATGGGCTTGAAACACTGTTGGAAACGGAATATCAGTGTTAATCTAAACAGGGACTGGAATGGTGGTGATTTGGGGATTTTTACAAACATAATCCATTTCAACTCTTACGACCTATTTACTTACTTATCACTCTATGTATTACACTTTTAGATGCCAATTACTTACTGCGGTTCCTTCGTGCGAAGAAGTTCAGCGTTCCCATGGCTCAGGAGGCTATCGAGCGCTACATCTTGCTGCGTCAGTCTTGGGGTATTGCCTTCAACCAGCTGGACTACAAGCTACCAGTCATGATGGAACTTATTGACCTGGGGTGAGGAAATCTCCAATTTTTTGACTAGTCAATTCACCTTCAAAAGACATTGAGTATGGACTATGGAATTACTTTGATTTTGCTGGGAATTAGTCAGAATTTGCAAGTGTACTATGTAGAAGTATTAGCGGATGGATGTTCCATATCAAACGGTCATTTGTTACGTAGTTTACGTCAAAATGGCTGAACGGAACTGAGCTTACTTTGGCTTTGAGATATAGTCTGGAAAATCAAACGGGATATTAGATATCTCGGTTAAACGTAGGGGTTTTGTATTTTTCCCATGCAAACTAAATTTAAATCGAACAAAATGAAGGGAAATATTTTTTGCATAGATTAACCTTACCGTATCTAGGATCTAATGACCTATATTACTTTATAAAAATAGATTAGACGTATTGTAATAAAAATAATGTATGACAAGGGCACAGACCAAGAGTCCGTGGAGAATTAATCTGTAAGCATCTAATGACCTAAGTTACGCTTAGGTAATTCTCTTGTTGTTCTCAGCAGAACACCTATGCTGCGTTACGGGTACCCAAGTAAATTAAATATTAACATAACATTATTTATTTTCTTTTACAGATACATATTTGTGAGTCCGTTCAAGGACAAGCTCGGTCGTCGCGTTGTCATATACAGGCCTGGTAGATATACAACCTTATGATAATCATCAACGAATTTCAAGTAGTATTCATTTTATATATTATTTTATTTAATAAGCATATTATATATGATATTACATATATTATACAGGTATTTATTTATATTGGTTGCGGTAAATCTGTCGTTTGAAAGATCTGCTTGATTGTATAATATTTAATTAATTTATATCCCTTGCTTCTCACATAGCATTTGCATAATGAGTGACAGGTAAGTGCATACACAATCATAGCTACATACCTACTTATTCATTCAGATGAAGAATCGTCAAAATGGTGCACACCGTTCGTCGGGTCTTCTGCAAATATCAGCTCCAGAGCTCCAACACCAGTTATAGCATATTCCTAAGAAAGCATTCATCTTCTCAAGGGAAGACTACCTCGCAATGCGCGGGGGCACGTGACCACTATGCCATTTTCTTCTCTAAGGCATATAGGCTAATCACTAGCCGCAAGTGCCTTCAAGAATAACAGAACCTACACTATTTATGGCTTATAACCTCATACACCAAGCAAGTTTTGCCTAAACACTTCATTCTTCGTATTCGCACACCCATTATTAATTATAGAACCATACTATAAACTCATTGAACCGAATGTCATACTTTAATGAGGACTATCGTTTCATTGCTCGCTAGATTCCGCTTAAGTAGCGTCTTGTTTATTCAATCAATGTTATCGTCATGTCAGCTACAAGAAGTCTACTGCTAATAAAGGTTTTCTCCAATTACTTCCAGATAGGCCGGTTGGAAGTTCCTTACCTGGTATATTTGTAAACCATCACAGCAAAGTCTTAATTGAACAATAGTAAATTTTCACCTTGTACTTATCCCCCTAATGGCGAATTCACACGCGATAGTCCTCATTATCTATGTTGGTAAGCAGTTTCTGATAGGTATTACTTTTTACAGGCGTCTTCGACCCCTACAAGTACACCAACCAGGACATGTGCAGAGTGATGGGCATCTGCTACGAAACCCTGTTGGAAGATGAAGAGAACCAGGTCCGAGGAGTAGTCCACTACGCTGATGGCAGTGGTGTCAGTTTCCCCCATCTCACTTTGTTCACTCCTAAGGAAGCTGTCAGGATTGTGAAGAATGGAGAGGTACCAATTTGTCATACCTCTCTTTTTTTTTAATACGTAGTTTACTCACCACGTTAAATGTTCGAGAATATAATTTCAAACTAGTTTCATAGTGACGAGCCATGTGTGCAGCTGTCGTTGACTGTAGTTTATAGAACTTTTCTAAAACCTTTTTGTAAATCTTGAACCAACTTTAAATGTAATTTTGCATTTCACAGCGTACTCTCCCGATGAGACACAAAGAGATTTACGGAGTCAACGTACATCCTACAGTCAAGTTTGCACTGGACTTCGGCATGGGTCTCATCTCAGAGAAGATAAAGAAGAGAGTCAAGTTATACAGCGCTGTAGAAGACGTGGAGATTGACAAGAGTCTGCTGCCCAAGGAGTATGGTGGCACCATGCCGATGAAGGAAATGATTGGTGAGTATTTTTAAGAGATAGAAGATAAATGAGCAAACGAATTATCTAATAATAATCAATTAATGCTGCAAAAGCACATTCGCTACTCAACAAGATTTATGAGGCCTTTTGTTGGGACAGTTCGTATTCCAAGTGCTTTATAGAACTTGTCAGATCTCTCGTCTGAAGCCTAAGTTCACACCACTTTTCCAATATATCACTCGAAATCTTATAACTGACCTGTCATGTATTTTCTTGATAGATCTTTGGAAAGAGGAGCTTGCTAGCAAACGTGACATTCTTCTGCTGAACGACAAAATGGCGGTCCGCCTTGAAATGTACAGTGAAGCGGCGCGAGAGGGCGCCATATCTGCATTGAAATCTGGCGCGAACACCTGCGCAGGCGCTGACGCGGTCGGAGACGCCATGAGAGGCCTCACAGGCAATTTCAGAAAACTTGAAGTAGACTAACTTGTTTAACATTAGAATATAGACTGATTGTTTTGTAATTTTAAGTACTTTAGCTAATAGATGTGATATAGGATCCCATTTTATTGGGTACCTTTAGTTTTAACTTAGTTTACTTACTGTGGGAACGAAAATTAGTGCTGTCTAATATAGTAAAGACTGGATGAAAGTGTAACAGCTCCTATTTTAGTATTCTCTTAGTTATGCCTGTTATTTTAACAAAAGATAAGCTAGCAATAAGTGAGGGTAAGTATTATGTAAGTTTAAGAAGACTTTCCGTACAAACAAATTAAGAAAACGGGAATAGGAAAGCATAATGTTATGTCGAATTATTTTCTCATGTGATTAATAAAACATTTTTAAACAAAGTTTGTTTTAATAAAACACCAAATTAGTTTATTAAATCGTTTATTAAAAATCCATTAACTACAAACAGTGAGCGGGCGAGTCCATCACTACAAAGTAAAGAGAGAGTCCATTCTATGAAGCAAATTATTACTAAAAAATCTAGATTCTCCCTTGGTACTGATAGACTCGAGAGCACACTGCATCAGTAAAAATTAATACACATGACTTGCACATCGTCACGTACCTAACAAACTCATACAAAATGCAACTTGTTAAATTTAATAATAATAATTATGGCACGATACAAATGGTGATGTTAATTCTGCTCTAGTTTTATGAAACTATATAACCGGCTTACAAATACATTATGCAACTTAAACAATGGTTGTCTTTTTATTACCTGGTTGTATTATAAAACATCGAGTATTCAAGTTCACCACAATTGTCATATGAGTTACAATTTATTGTTAATCCTTTACGTAAGTACATAAAACTATTTTACTTTATTTCATAACACAAATTTTAAATAGCTTTCGTTTCGTTACTTTAAAATACGTAATCTAATATTAAAAAATATTTTTATATGTATGTAATTTTATAAAAATGTCGTTAAATACATTTTAGTACTGTTAGCCGCTATTATAGTATTTATTGCTATCCGTTTTATCAAAAGTTACTGAATTATTTTCGCACGTGAGTTTAGTACTACTTTGTCGATCAGATGTGTATTTTTATTACTAGAAGTTATTGAAAATCCTGGACAATGTTTTATATAGATTGCTATAAAGGTACCATATTCATTTTAACTACAGTACTCAGAGACTAAAGATAACGTAAACTATAGTAACAACTTTAATCTGAAAACAATTGCTAGGGACTGGAAATGTAAACATAAGTTATTGAGTACGGCAGTAACACTTTAAAAGAAGTAAATAGAAAAGCAACCAGAACATAATAGACTTAAAGTCGTAATTTCAAAATAACTTCACAAAGACACACATTTAACCGACAATCCGACCATAAGTCAAGAAGCGTTGCGCCTGTTTATATTTAAAAGGCCATAATGATCTAAAGATCATGACTATCTTCATCTATTGCAAATACAGTTGAAATATCAACCAATATCATCATAATATTGTCATAATCATTTACTTTTTTATCGGCAAAACGAGCAAAAACAAGATGCTACTCTAAATTACACATATGGTTTACAATATTTCTTTGTACGCATGCCTGAAGGTACTATTGGTGATGTGAAATTTCGGGAAGGTCAATTTAAAAAGATCACGTGCGCACGGGAATTTGGCACTAAAGAGCGGAGTTACTGAAAGCATTTGAAAGTAAATATTAAAAATGTGTTCGCTTAATAAGAGGCTCTCAAAGTGGCTACAATTAGTAAAAGACAAGATTCCTTGCAGTTGCGTCCCCAATGTACCTCTGTAACATCATGTGATAGTGCGACTCAGTTATTTTCATTTCACCAGCCGTAGCCCACAGGTCTAATTGTAGACGAATCATTAAGTCTACAATTACCGAAAAAACTGTTTCTATAGTGCACAGTACAGCTAGTCCGCTCCTTTACAAAAATATAGACACATTTCTCAGTATAACATTATTATAGATATATAAATATTATTGTAAATATATCAGTCGTTGGGTAATTGCTCGCTAGTTCACGGTAACAGCAATTCAAGGGGCTTGGCTGGCAATAGCCAATCTTTATTGCTCATATATAAAAGTGAAATCGTTAATTTCCATTGCAATGACCAAATGTATCTTTGAGAGCATATTTAAACAATTTCTTCTTTATAAATATATGTTCATATTGTACTTAACTAGGCACTTTAATGTACAGAGCAACAAACTATAACTATGTGCATGCGACGACTTACAAAACTGTTCTACGCTATGTGCGAATCAATTCCTTATGTTCAAGGGGTCCTTTGGCACATTTGGGACTGGGTTGGTACTTCGCTAGCTAAATCCATCATAGATACACTTCTTAACATATGCAACGCAATTTAATCTATATACGCCCATATTCTGCATAAATATACGATCCAAGTATCTAATATTTATGGTTAATCTCATAAACTGTGCAGTACTAATAAATCTCTGAATAAAAGCGAATCAAATTTACTTAATTATCAGTCCATATAGCCGTTGAACGAATTAATATCGAAGGATACCAATAATGGAGCTTTACTTAAAACGTACACGTGTGTTCTAAATACTTAAGTACAGAAAACATTGTCTATATTTGGCATAACTTACTTTTAAATTATAATATAATAATATATAATGTATAACATCAGTTAGACATCTGTAATAACAGTATAAACTTATTTATTATATAGGAATCCTTAAATTAAAATATTCAAGATTTCTAATAGATTTGTTATAATGTAAATAGACTTAACTTTAATTCTCTAACAAAGGTTAAATGACGCTTAAAAATAATTTGTATATAATAAAATGCTTGTTGGCACTTGATTTGGCAATCGTAAGTGTGTGGAGACGTTTCTTGAATATACTAGGTTATATAGGATGAAGGAAAGTACTTCGAAGCCTTTTCGAGGATGCTCGAGTAGTTTCAAGCCACACTGGGGCTCATAATCATATGAGATGCATGCGTAGCGAACGACGTCACGCAGCTTACTCTACGATCACCTAGTCGAAGTTGTCGAACATACTCAATCAGTGTAAGTGAATTTATTTTGATTAATTAACTCACAATATAGCTAGTGATTTGGCCTGATTCATCCTAGATAACCTTAATATACAAGAAAACAGCTAAACAATAGTTAATATTCAAACTATCTACGTCTAAAACATTATCTTTCAGTTCTAACAATGTAATATAATATGTGTATGAGATGCAATAAAATATATTCCTTATAATAATGTGCTAAGAACATACTTTGCAATATATCTGTTTGTAAGCATGGATCGACATAAACAGGCACATGTATTGTATATTATATGTTATTATCGGTATATGGTTTTAAAGTTATAAATTACCTATAATACTTTGGTGTTTGGATTCGAATAGGTCGGTATTCATAAATCTAATACTGAAGCTAACAAAAATATTCAATTCTACCCACGGCCTTTTGCATATGGCATGTGCCTAGGATATCCACACAGAGTTTCACTCTTGTAGCCTTAGTAATAAGGTTCAATACTGAGTGTCAGTGTCACTTGTAGATATTTGTGCTTTATTTCGTTGTTCTATATTAACGTAGTCTATTATTGGAAGTATATGAGGTTTCATTATAATATCTATATGTATAAGTTAATATATAGACGACACATTCAACTATAAAATAATTACTGACTTTTGAACATGATTTCGTTTTGTGGTTACTATTTAAGTATAGTCTAACTAAATTGCTTTGGGACTGGGATCACAATATTTTAATTACTAGCTCGTAGTGACAGAAACTTAATTTATCATTGATTCAATCGATTTCCATTCCTATTGTACTGTAATTAAGATTATAATGGAGTGACACATATAAGTGGCATACTTGTTTTATACGCCTTTATTGAATGAACTATAAAGGTCATCTAGAAAGGAACTTCAAAGGGAAATAAAATAAAGATATCGTGTGACATCTTATTTGGCAAGTATTTAATCACCTTAGCACTTATTGGAGCGACCAAGAGTGCAACTTGATCATTTAAAAATGACTACAACGTCATTTTTTCTTCGGATTACATAACATTCGATTGTTACTTCGCAAACTGCATAGGTTGGACGGTTTTTAATTACTACAAAACGTACAAGGTGAAATAAACCCTATTACTAACAAAACAAGATACTACCTATGATCATTATGAAATCATTTGAAAATATGGTGCGCAGGCGGCGTTTGTTAATTTAAAATACTCGTGCGCATTCGTGAAATACGTGCGAGCTGCGAATGGCACTCGCTAAAAAAAGACAGACAAAATAATTATATCAAATATGCGATGATTATTTAAAAAATAATAATTACCGTCCATAACCTTTGCCTGAGACATAACAATCACGTTTCCTACCAACTAACTAGCTATTCCTACACGACGCCATTATGGAACGGGGACCAACAATGACCATATAAAGGAGTTTAATGGTATTCTAATTAAGTACATTGTACAGTCAACTGGGGGATCGGAAAGTTTAGAGAATGCGAAGGGTAATATCCTCATCATTGACATCATCAGCTAGAACACGTCGAATGGGGGGGGGGGGGTTCGTACGAGAATATTTTACGTTTAAGGCCGTGCGCCGCGTTAGGCGTGCGCACGCGGTCGCCCGGTCGCGAGGTCGCGTGGCGTTTTATGTAAGATGTAGATCAGTGTGCGACAGGCGACCCGCTACGTGCGTGTGATGGATGTGTGCAGATCTTAATATTTGGTTCAGAGATATGGGACAAGTCCGCCACAACCTCCCAAAACCGCTGCAACTCCTGTAAGCCAGGATCTACAGTAGATACAACCATGAAAACACCGGAACACTCTCCAGCGCGTCCCAGGGACATGAATAACTGTCTTGGTTCCCACAAGAAGTGAATCAAAAGATATTATAAGAGGAGAAGAAAAAAACTATAGTTTCAACTTCCCTCGGTAAATTACTGCAGGAGACAGAATGAATTGTGCCCTATGCAATTATAGTCTGGAATAACGAGGGGTTCTTTCAGAGACAGACTCAGTGATAGACTGAGAATATACAATGTAGAATAGTGTAGTAACCCATAATTTTCCCATGACTACTAGTGGATTTCATACATCTTGCTAGAAGACGCGGATATGACCACTTGCAATTTGAATACAATAACACTAATGGAACTTATTTTGGGTAAATTAATGAAAATGTACGGGTTACGTAAACTTTTCGAAGATGCTCGACTGGTTTCAAGCCACTCCATGGCTCATAAGCAAATGAACTGCTTACGCGATCAATGCATGACGCGCGGGCAACTCTAAAACCTACTAGTCGAACAACTTCGTTCAGTTTAAGTGAATTCAATAATACTAACGAGACTCAAACTCTGTATAACTACTCTGAAACATTATAAACTAATGAAAATATATGGCTTATGTAAACCTTTTGAGGATGCTCGACTAGTTTCAAGCCACAGGGGGCTCATAATCATATTGTGAGTATACCTGGCAACCAAGTCGCGCAGTAAACTCTTAGATCAACTAGCTAAACAACCTCGGACAGTTCAAGTTTAATAATACAAAATATGCGACTTACGTAAACTTTACGAGCATGCACGACCAATTTCGAGCCACCCCGGGGCTCATATAGATATGAATTAAATGCGCAGTGTGCGTAAATAACTCTAAGACCAACTAGTCGTACATACTCGGACAGTTTAAGAATGAGTAAGCTGTATATTTTAAACTCATAAAACTCATTGCTGAAGATATATATCGAATACAGAGAGAGAAAGTATGTTCCACGTACTGATAGGCTGATGATGAAGTTCTAAGTATAGGAAAATGGCAGTTGACGTAGTATAGATGCAATGAGCAATCGTATGCAAGATGGCGTCCAATCGACTAGTCCGCAAGTTATTTTGGGACACCTACGTTCAGCTATGGATATCTCGTGGCTGATATGATGACAATGATAAGTATTACTCTTCTAATCTCATTTAGAATTATTATTATGGACCTACTTTTATTTCTTGGGGCATTTATGAGTCCGACAGTTACAGGCACATAGTACAAGCATCAGATACCAGACAAATTCCATTAATATATTACTTAAATGCGAAAGTTCAGTATGTTATGATTTTTTCTTAATGAAGATTTGTTGAGTGCGTTTCTGGTGTACAAAATAGTTATTGTTATGAAGGCTTATTTTAACATTTAAGTTGAGCTTCTGTTACTTTATTTAAATCGCATGAAGAGTATGTATTACATAATATTTCGTCATAATACAGTTGTATGGTGTGTTTACATACTTATTTCTTTTTTAATAAGGAAATAATATTAAGCGAGTCCAGAAAAATTCGTAATGACATGCAATTTTCGAGATCGGACAATAATCTATTGTTTTGGTATTCCTAAAGGGTAATTTCGCAACTTTCATATTTACCGGTGTAGTTGCTGAGTAGAAAAGGAGTAGGAACTAAATCGATGCCGCGACGCCGCAGGCGACGGTTCAACGTTACCGATCTATCGTACGCTGTCACCGTAACTGAAAAATTAAATTAGAAAATTATTATTACTTTGTTATGTGAATAGGTTATTCTTGGTCTTTTAATATAAATGAATTCTATATTTCTTGCAAAATGCATACAATTTGTTGTAATAATTCTTGCGTTATGCACACACATACACAGATATATCATAAAATTATCTATTGTCTTCGCTTACATTAAAAAACTCGGTAACTTCGTGTTTTTTCCAATTTTATGATCATTTTAAGTTCGATACATATTTGTACCAACAATAAAGTAACACAAATTGTTTTTTCGCACATAAAAGGATCGAAATTACCTTGCTTTAGAAATGAACTAACTAATATGGAAACAGCAAAGCGCTCTTTACTAATATTAACTTATTGGTCAGTCAAATCATGATACGCTGATTGGACAAGTAAGACTGAAGTGACAACCTTCCAAGGGGTGAGCTTTGCGCTCACTAGATGGTTCTAGTGAGCGCAAAGCCGAATAAAAAAGATCGATTATATCAATCACGTAAGGGATATTTACAAAAAAAAGAATAAACGAACCTGGCCTGGGCGTCCGTGGCAGTGTAAAGGTATCCTTGGGTCAGACCCAGTATTGGTTGCGCCGTAGCATTGGGTTCGCGGGCGCCACGCCCGTCGCTCGCACGGGATAAGCAGACTCGCTCGCCTCGTAGCTACTCCAGTCTTCCGCCTGTAACGACCCGTACTGATTGTTTCGTTATTATTATACCTTGTACAAATTGTAAAGTATCAAGAGGTGTCGATGCGCACACGCTTAAGCTCATCGCACATCTAAAAACCATGGCTCTAAACCAAAATTAAGTTGTCATTTAAATATGAACTTTAAATCGTATGTCCGAAAATAAATTGAAACAACGCCGTGCCGGAGCCGTGACTTTTGGATGTGCGACGAGCTTTAGTTCGAAGATGTTCACGAATGTTTCGCAATGGGCGCGGGAGTGGCACATTCACATGGGAATAAACAATTATGACTTCTTTACTAACTCATAATAATATGTTTAATATGTCGTAACAGAAAACCAGTCAAACTGTCAATATTTTAAAACCACACTCGCTTCTTTCATCTTATATTATTACCATAAACATGAAGATGTACTGCTGAACAAAAGCATCCCTCTATTTTTATAATATACATTTATTAGTTAGGTCACGGTTTTGAGAATAATAACTTGATGTATTGGACCAACTTTGGTATCGTAGTAATAGCTTTGTAGTTTTAAAAAGCAGACTGACTAAAATAAAAAGGAGATGGAGGAAAATAAAAGAAGTAAGTAAAGTAGAAGAGAGAGAGAGAGAAAGAAGATAGTAGAAGATAGGAGTGATAAGGGAGGACAGTGGGGAGAGTGAGGAGAGTGGGGAGAGAGAGGAGAGTGGGGAGAGAGAAGAGTGGGGGGAGAGAGAAGAGTGGGGAGAGAGAGGAGAGTGGGGAGAGAGAGGAGAGTGGGGAGAGTGTGGAGAGTGGGGAGAGAGGGGAGTGGGGGGAGATGACAAGGGATACGAGAGTGAGGGTAGAGGTGAGAAAATTAAGAGACCCCTTCTTAATTTAAGAGGAGAGGGGATTTGAGAGTGAGGAGAGAGGGGAGAGGGGAGAGTAAGGAGAGAGGGGAGAGTAAGGAGAGAGGGGATAGTAAGGAGAGAGGGGAGAGGGGTGAGTGAGGGGGAGGCAAGAGTAAGGAGAGAGGGGAGAAAGGAGAGGAGACGAGACAAAGGAGAGAGAAGAGAGAGAGAAGAGATAAGCGTCGAGGAAAGCAAGGAAAGATAGAGGACAGAGACGGGAGAAAAAAGAAGACGGTAAGGAGAGAGAACGGACGTTTCATGCAAAATAACCTGACAAAGCATAAAGAGCTGCAAAACTCACATCAGTATGGTCATCAGTTCCATAAGGATACCTCGCATTGAGGTCGGGTAACGCAGCGTCGGCGAGCGGAGTCACCTTGCAAGCTACGCTACCGCCTGACGGAAGCGGCGTGCTCGCACCAGTGTGTACTGATTGCTCAGACGACACGTAGCTGTGGAAGAAGAATATAAGGTCTATTGTCAATCTATAACAAATATCTTACTTTCTTGACCAAGTATTTAATAGGTTGAATTAACTTAAACCGCTGACACTTTACAAAAACAACATTTTTATAACGAAATACAGATATTTATTTTATTACATGCGCTCATCGAGGTATGCAACCATTTATGTTGCCTGGACGCTAACGGTCGATGCGCTTATTCCAACATTCTATAAAAGTGCGTCCGCGCACGCTGCTCATGAAGAAGAGTCCCTGTGTGACTCGAAACTAGTAGAGCTTTTCTCAGTATATTTATGTCACTCGTATTTTTTAGTTAAATACCTATTTTACATCAAAATCATTTTGTATATTTCCCGCTCACCGTTTTATAGGCGGAGTGCCTTGTGAAGGCGAAGGCATAAGATGCTCGGGTGGCCTCGGCAGCGGTATAGGTGCCACCGCGCCCTGGCTTTGCCCGTGTATCTTCACGAGAGCGTTCTGATCTCGCATGAGATATCTCCTGCACTTCAACAAGCCGAATATCACGACTATCGCGAGTACAGTGCCTGATAATGCCATCAGGATCATCATGTAGTATGAGGCTGTTTCGCCATTTGCTACCTGTAATGGAAACCAAGATTGGTTACAAACATTTCATATGTCACCATATAAGTAAGATTCATCGTAAAAGTAATAAGTGAATATTTTAGCATCATGTGCTACTTACAGGAACTCCTTCGTGGCTCTCAGGATCATTTGGCCCAGGCAGATTCTTCTTCTGTCTGTTTCCTATAATAATCTTCACATCGCCGACTGCCGGCTGGAAAATTGTCGCAGCCAACAAAAACCTAAAGCTATCCTCGAACCCATTCAGTTCATTCACCTTCTTCTTAGTTACGAAGTATATTACACCCGCTTTCACATCTTCATGTGTAAAATACGCTACTTCTCTTTCCCTAGCACTAGTTTTCTCCCCTGAACTACGAATTATCTTCTTCAGTGTCCCAAATCGAGGTTTCCTCAGTAAAGTATACACAGGATCACTGGCTGTAAGCTTCGCCAGTCCACCCGCGTCCATTGTGCGAAGTGTGATCCTGGCCTTTTCCACTTCCACTCGTAAGTCACCCAATGTCATCAAAGGTTGTACAATAACTTCTATCGTGAATGGCCGCGTCGCATTACTATTGTGTACGTAGGCGATCAAGTCAAAACTATCATTAGCAGTCGTCATGTCGTTTTGCATGTAAATCACGACTTTCTCCATCAAATCTTTGTGGGTGAAGTATGAGACTGGATTCCTACCGACATACACCATACCATGGAGTGGCTGCCGAGTGATATTGTACAGAACTTTTGATGTCTTTGCATTGGTGTCCACGTATATCTGGTCTGTAGTGACTGCTGCTACATTGGAACCCTGTTGCAGGTATATAGGATGCAATGACGTTGCATTGAGAATGACTGGAATGACATCTATAGTAAATACTGTGTACGTTGGCTTGAATTGTCCGTCCCACACCCTAAAATAGAACGTAGCTGTTTGAAGTATTCCGGAATGTTCGTATATCACCCTGCCGTTGTTTATGTCGTCTTGTGTGAACTTGTTAATCGAATGTGCATCGTCTATTGTCTGGTTTTTATCCAACATCACCATTCTGCCTTGCGTTGGCCCGCTTATAATGTCGTATAGAATTCCTGGTGGTCCGGTATCAGCATCTTCGGTGAGTAAATCGTTTTTGGTGATGGTATAATTCTCGCCTTGTACCACTTGTATTTGTGGCGTGTCAGTTAGTAAGCGGAACGGTTGGTCGTTCACCGGGGTTATGTGTATGATGATGCTCACGTTACATAGAAGGACATAGTCAGGTAGAAGGAACAGCGCCATGTCAATTTTGTCCTGTGTTGTGTCTGAATCATCGTGTTCATAGTTCACAACTCCGCTTTCAATTTGAGACTGGGTTAAAGAAGACATGAAGGGTTTTAGCTCTCCATGGGACGGTTGTGACCATTGAGCTTCAATCTGAGGCTGCCTCAACCCAGCTTGAGTTTCTAAATACGTGATAACATTACTAACATTTACTTTGATAGGCACTTTATCTCCTTCCTGGACTTTTATGGGAGGTATATTGACGTATTTAGCGAGCCCTCCAGACGACACCGAAATGTCAATGTTAAAAATTTGATCAGTGAGCGGTTTTGCTAGGGGGGCTTCGATGGTGAATATGAATGAGTCGTTCGTGTACAAATCTGAGAAAGGATGAGTGTGTTCGTAATACACGACTGTGTTGTTGATATCCTGTTGGGTAAACTGCTTTATAGATCTGTGGTGGCTTTCTCCATTCAGCATTATAAGTCTACCTAAAGTAGGAGCTCGTTCTATCTTGTATATTATAGTTCTCGTTGGATCGGAGCATTTAGACATTAACATGTAATTGTTTAAAGGTTCTCTCATGAGTGGAAATACCTTCATGTTATGTTTTCTTGTTAGTTTAAGTGATACTGACTTGGTGGTTATGAGGAATGTGATTTTGGATAGCTCATGTAGCCCGTCGGTGACGTTGAATATCATTTTACCTTTTGTGCCGTCTGTAACAAAATTATTACAGTAAAATACTGTAAACAGAATTCTGTGACATGAATTGTAAAGTCAATAGGTTTTTGCATAAAGTGTTCATGTCAATTTCTTCAAACAATAACACAAGTAGCGTGATTATATTTCATCACTTGAAGTTTACATTCATTTCTGTTTATATTTGTTTGAGTGAATGTAATGCTCATTTTTTACCATTTTTTTTTTAAGAAATTGGAATATTGTAAGACAGACATTACATAATATAGATAATACAATTAAAAATATAAGAGAACTTACTTTTATGAACGAACACAACTTTTCCCCTATCGATGTCAGCCTGAGTGAAGTGATGTACAGCGGTGTCGAGGCTGCCTTGTATAGCTATGTACCCAGATACGATGTCCACTACGCGCACTGTCACATTCTCGGGAGGAGTGTCTATGTCATTCACATCTGGAATATATTAGGAGTATTATCGTATATGAAGAACTTATTTAACTTATTTACAAATCTGAAGAAGTTGTCTGTTTGTTTGAACTGTAATTTTCGAAACTACGAGTCCGATTTAAAATTTCTTTTGCTGAGGCTATAAACATCACGCTATTTCTCTTATTACAGTTCAGCTGACGGATAATTTGGCGTATTTTACATCTCGCTCAAACGAATTTGGATTTTAGTAAAACGTATTCAAATAGATATGACGAGCCATACTTCACGAATATGCCGCTCGACCGGAGTGATACCACGGCCTCACAGAAAACTGTCGTGAAACAACGTTTTTCCCCCGAATTGTGTTTCCCCCATCCCCAATCCCCCATGCAGCCCCATGCCCAATCCACAAATATCCCAAACCTGATATCCCTAACCCCAAATCTCTCTGATCGTTTACGTCCCCATTCCACAACAACAAGGTACAACGCCACGCATTTAAGTAATACTAATTTTTCATTAAATGGAATCAATATGCGATTCGGGGACGATATGCGATTCAAAGTTGTATTTATTAGGAAATAGTATTCCTTATTAGGAATTCTATTTTGATAATAAGAAAAACCAAAAACCCTGCCCAAACAATTGTCATTTATGTGTATGTATGATCATTTATTAAAACATAGGATTTTATTAACCGACTTCAAAAAAAGGAGGAGGTTCTCAATTCGACCGTATATGCTTTTTATGTTTGTTCGCCGATATCTCCGTTATTTATAAACCGATTTTGAAAATTCTTTTTTTGTTGGAAAGGGGATAGTCCCAGAATGGTCCCATGATAAGGAAATCAGGATCTGATGGTGGAAGACCAGGGAAACCGAGGGGAAAAAAATTATAGGGGCGACTAGTGCATTTGTTAATTTTTTCATTAAGTATTGAAATCCGCCACAATCTGATAAAGGTCTGGAGTCGATCTGATTGATGGAGCCGAGAGCCAGTCGAGGGAACTCCTCAACGGTTAACAGTAGCTACCTTGTGTTTGGGTTGGATTAATTTGTATTGATGAGGACTTTACACCTAGGTGGAGTGTAATTGTCCATAAGGGTCTGATGATGAAGTAGTACGATAGTTGAGGGAACTCCTCAACGTTTAACAGTAGCTACCTTGTGTTTGGGTTTGATTAATTTGTATTGCTGAGGTCTCTACACCTGGGTGGGGTGTAATTGTCAATAAGAGTCTGATGATGAAGTAGTACGATAGTTGAGGGAACTCCTCAACGTTTAACAGTAGCTACCTTGTGTTTGGGTTTGATTAATTTGTATTGATGAGGTCTCTACACCTGGGTGGGGTGTAATTGTCAATAAGGGTCTGATGATGAACTAGTACGATAGTTGAGGGAACTCCTCAACGTTTAACAGTAGCTACCTTGTGTTTGGGTTTGATTAATTTGTATTGATGAGGTCTCTACACCTGGGTGGGGTGTAATTGTCAATAAGGGTCTGATGATGAAGTAGTACGATAGTTGAGGGAACTCCTCAAAGTTTAACAGTAGCTACCTTGTGTTTGGGTTTGATTAATTTGTATTGATGAGGTCTCTACACCTGGGTGGGGTGTAATTGTCAATAAGGGTCTGATGATGAAGTAGTCCGATAGTTGAGGGAACTCCTCAATGTTTAACAGTAGCTACCTTGTGTTTGGGTTTGATTAATTTGTATTGATGAGGTCTCTACACCTGGGTGGGGTGTAATTGTCAATAAGGGTCTGATGATGAAGTAGTACGATAGTTGAGGGAACTCCTCAACGTTTGACAGTAGCTACCTTGTGTTTGGGTTTGATTAATTTGTATTGATGAGGTCTTTACGCCTGAGTGGGGTGTAATTGTCAATAAGGGTCTGATGAAGAATTAGTACATACGATAATTGAGGAACTCCTCGGCGGTTACCAATAGCTACCTTGTGTTTACCTAGGCACCGACTTCTAACCTATCAGTAGGTGTGTAAGCTACAAGTACGTATGACCAATAATAGTTATTTTTTTTAGTTTTTACTTTTTGTTTGTCATTAGTTTTTGAAGTCGGCTTTTTTAAACGCAGATTTTTAATTTTATTTTTTATGATAGTAGTAGTATACATCACCAATGAAAAAAATACTGCAAAAACGATTGCAAAATCTAAAACCAATATCAATATACTATAAATAATTAACCAAATACTTACAAAGTTCTTTTGTAGTGAAAGTGAATGTGCCTCCCTCCCAAACACAGAGCCCAGTGTTGGCCGCCACGATCGGGGGCTCATCGTTCACCGGCGCTATGTTCACGTGCACGTAGAACGGCTCGCTCTCCTTACTGCTCTCCGTCATGGCTACCAACTTGAATGCGTCTGATGATTCTTCTGAGCCGTCGTTTATGTACTGAAGACAATGACATTGAGAGTATAAGTGATTGAATTATAAGACCTGATATAACATAGAACTATGTAGATTTACACACGGTTCATTTTTTTAAATGTTCTAAGTCACTCGACCGGAGTGATACCACGGCCTCACAGAAAACCGACGTGAAACAACGCTTGCGTTGTGCTTCGTCATGTGAGTGAGATTACCGGAGACCCAATTACCCCCAGCCCTCGTCTCCCCGTCTCCCCAATCCCCCCACAATCCTAAAATTCCGAATTCCCAAAAGACTGGTAACGCACTTCTAATCAGGTGTTTCAAGTGTCCATGGGCAGCGCCGATTGCTTACCATCAGGTAATCCGTCTACTCGTTTACCTATTTATCCTATTAAAAAGAAAAAAACGAAAAACAGAAAATATGCAGTGATAACAAACTCAACATACCTGAATATTTCCAGAATTAAGTTTCAAAACCGGCAACAAATTCAGCTCCTGATCCGCCATCACAATCTTTCCGTACTTCGGTTTTTCGACAACTTTATATGCAACCACTTTACCTTTGTAATATTCTGTGACTGTTCTGAACAAATCTGGCTTCACGCTAACAGCTTCGCCTTCGACAACAGTAAGATTGAAGGCATGTACGTAGAAATGTTCAGGGATTATAACGACGTTTAGTTCTACGTCTCGTAACCATACAATTCCATTAGTCACGTCCATTCGTATTCTGTCCCGAGTTCGGTTAACCCCTGACTGGACGTAAACCAGTCGGTTAGCGTTAATGATCGATTGGTCGAATACTTTAATGTGCACTGGTTCTTCATTATAGTTCTCTAGCTCTAGAGTGCCCGGTGTAGTGGTGATTTCAAGCCATCCATGGTAGGGCCCGTCTGTTACTTGGTATACTATGTTTGATGGTTCGATTTGAGGATGCATTACCTGTAAAATGTGGTGATATTTAAGAATTTCGAATTGACATGACCCTTACGCATTCAAATTTTGCAAAATGTAAATGAGATTACGTTATGTATCATAAAGTTCAATATATGTATGATTTGTAAATGACTGTTTCAAAACGGTATGTCAATGGTATTTAGTTATTGCATTGGGAAAACTTAAAACACCATGCCTTTTACAAATCCTTGAAGAAGAAAGGTATGGTCTTAAACAAAAGCAAAATTTTAAACGTTAAATACCTCTAAAATATCCTTTGTTACATTCACACTGGTGGATTCTTCGACCACGAGCGGTAAGTTAGTCGTCACCCGCAACGGTTCCCAGTAACTGGACGGGAATATCTTTATCACGTACACACCTTCGCCCCAAGTGTCCAGACACATCACTTTGAATCTGTAAACATTACACTTATATTGTATTCACCGAAATATATTAACGATTATATAGAAGCATGTTTTGTCACGTTTAGATTATGTCGAATTTATTATGTGGAATCAATTTGCGATTCGAGTTTTATATGATTCAATGTTGTCCTTATTAAGAAACAATATTCATGTGGTGAAATACCTGAATTGATCAGTCGGAGTCTTCGGTTCTCTATGTCTGTAAGCAACTCTGCTGGCTGTCACATCCAGCTGTGTGAATGTAAACGCTCCTTGACCTTCTCCGACCTCGATAGTTCCGTGTTTCGGTTCCAACGTGATTTCGTAACGTATGTCTTCTTCTAAGCAGTTCATATTGGTGTCGACCTGGAAGATAATGTTTATATTGAGCAATGGTGATGAATTGCGACAATTTAAGCTTGAAAAGGAGTAATGACTTTACTTGTGGATAAAAATTTGAAATAAAATATATTTTACCTGCATATCTCTTGATGAAATAACAACAGCTTTTCCATTTTCCACAATCGATCCGTTACTGGGGTACATTCTTATGAAGGGAGGCGACGCCTGTATTTCCAAGTTACCGTTGACATCAAATAAGCCATCCGATATCCAGAAAGCCATTTTACCGTATTCTTTACCTTGATGCTTGAATAGCACCAAGTTCTTATTTATATCGTCTTGTGAAAACTGCGCTATTTGCTCGGAAGGATTATCTGCGCGGAATATACCACCGTTCGGGGGATCCTTTATATATCTTTGAACTGTGTATATAATATCGGATGGTTTTGTGTCTAAATCTGCGTCTGTGTAGCTCAAATCTCGAGCCGTGATGAGTCTCGCCCCTCCATGGACGATGTGAAATACATTGTCGTTAGCCCTCACGGGACTATTATCGTTCTTCAATATAATATCGATGTGGAACACCCCAACGTATTGGAAGTCTTCGGGTTCCGGACTCAGAGCCATAAAATGGAACGAATCGTGTCGACTCTCGGAGTCGTCGTGAGCGTAATACACTCTGTCAGAATTAAGTTCTTCCAGAGTGAAATACGTCGTGTTATCCCGCGCTATTTTTAGGATATCGTTGATCACTTCGATTTTTCCATGCTTCGGTAAATGTGTGATGTTGAATATTAGGTTAGTTACTGCGTCTGTGCGGAAATTGAGGTGGGTGGCTGGTATGACCATTCTAGAACCTTCAGTGACTTGAAGGCGTTCTAACGTGGTGTGGACTCGACCTTCCGTTCGATCAGAGGAGGGAGTGCCGGGGGTGTGTCGTATAGTCATCACGCCCGTGATGTTTTTGCATTCTGTAGCCCCCACTACGAAGGTAAACTCATCTTGGATGTGGGAGTACGCTCTCCTATGTAGTCTGTACCACAGCTGGTCTGTATCGATATGCTGTTGCGTGAAAGTACTATGCATTTGTAAGTGATGTTTGCCTGATGATAAATGCAGAATACCATACTTGGGAGCTCTCAGTATTGTATAAACGACACGGTCGCTCGGTAGTGCTAGAGGGTTAGTCTTAAACGTGAGGTGCTGAGACGATATGAAAGCCTCTCTTGTGTTATTGAGAACTAGTTCTTCGTTCACTGATTGATATAGTTCGAGTTTTATAAACGTTAGTCGAAAATCGTAGAGTGTGTTCGTTCGTATTGATCCCACTGATGCTTTGAACTGTGGACAACAATGTATATATTAAGTTGTGGTAAGCAGAGGGATGGACTGACGTGGTAGCCAGTTAGTCTCAAAAGGATAATTCTAGAGTAAAATGTATACTACTTCCCCATTCTTACCTTAAACTCGTCATGCGAAGGGTTTCCAAGTAGATGCATATATCGCACTCGACCAAACGTCACCATTTCACTAGTAAACGAGTCCACAGTCTGCCAGGTACCGTCCAACACTCGTAGACGTTCCACTACGCCAAACTGTGGCGGCTTCACTATGTCGTACCTTTAATATAGAACAATATATTATGATACAAAATGTATTTGTAAAAGCTGTCGTTATGGACTGAGAAAATGTAATTGTTAAGTGTGGGAGAGCCATACTTCGGCACGAATGAGCCGGCTCGACTGGAGTGATACCACGACTTCATAGAAGACCGACATGAAAGAACGCTTGCGTTGTGTTTTGTCGTGTGAGTGAGTTTACCGGAGGCCCAAATAACCAAGAAGGAACACTCTTTGATAGACCTGAATCGTTTAAACAGTAATTCCAACCCACTTGCTTAATGCCACCTAAATTCTTCTATATTCTTTTTATGCAAATGAAGCCTATAGAGTTCAACACTAGACTGTGACATTAGGCAACAGTCCATGATGCAGCAAGGGCAGGTAGAGACCATGTCGAAGATGATAATAAAAGAAAGCCACTTACTTTACTTGTACATTAGTTTCATCAGCATTGGTTGTGAAGGTAAGGTTGTCAGCTGAGATGATGGCGTAAGAATTGTGTACCAACTGCAACCCTGTATTGTTGACTAGTCGGACTTGTAAAGGCACTACAGATATTCGTAAGATACCAGGCCCGCTTGTCTCAATACCGTCGGAAACCTGTGGAATGATGAGTAGGATATACAATTTATGTCATGCATATTAGTTACTTCCAACGACAGCGCCAGTGTTGCGGGGAGCCAGTGGATGCAGGTGGCAATGTTATCGTTCAACGTGGAAGACTAAGGGGTAGGCCTTTGTCCAGCAGTGAACAGCTTTCGGCTGTTGATGATGATGATAATATTAATTTAGTAAGTTTTTCGATTGTGAACTCTGGACTTGTGTCCGTTAAACTAATAACTGATTGTGTATTAAAATATCATCAATATTTAAAATACTTCCAAATATATCATGCTTATCTCAAGACGTAGTCAGTAGAATCTATATGCGGTTCGGGTTTGATATGTTATTCAATGCTGTCCTTATTAGGAAACAATGATCCTTATTAGAAAATTTCAATCCTTGACATCCATAATATGATTAAAACACTTATTTCAATATTTATTATTATATATTTATTTTTAATTGAAATCCAATTTTGACGTTTTGTGCTCACTGCAAGATGTATATAAGAGAAAACCATGTGCGTTTCGCATTTGACATACGATTTAATGTCTAATTTATTAGTACATAATGATCCTTATTACACAAATTCTTTTCTTAACATTTACATATTGAGGAGAGCAAAAAAGGTTCATGGAATTAAACGATGATATGTTACAAATATCAATTATTAGTATCGACCTAATAACGGACAACGATCCTGACCGTAAGAATGTTCAAATCGAATCTCTTTTGGGACTATTATTTCTAAAATACACTTTGTTTTCTGATTTATGTCCAGCTTTAGAATAAAAAACATAACTTCAAAGCAAAAAGTAAAGTTCCATCGATAATAAATATAGGGGCGGCAGACTAAACCACATAAGTCAAAAAATGCTATTTGTTATTATTATACCAACAACGTCAAAATAAATAAAATTTATACATCGACGGACTAAAGGCTAAAACTTATATGCTACCAACTTTTACCTGCAGCTTCGCTCGCGTCACAAAAGGATAAAAAGTAGCCTATGTGACATATACCAATACACACAGCGCCATCTATACCAATACTTTTGTTTTCCCTCAGGAATATCAAATTTTTCCGGGATAAAAAGTACCCTATTATTTAATCCAGACTTCTAACTATACATCTGCAAAAATTCAAAGCAATCGGTTTAGTAGTTACGGCATGAAAGCGGAACAAACAAACAAACAAACAAACTCACTTTCCAATTTATAATATAAGTAAGGAAGTAAAGATAAGGATAGTAAGGATTATGTATAACGTTATTAGTATAATTACAAAAAGCATTTTTTGACTTATGTGGTTTAGTCTGCCGACCCTAGAAATATGGTATGGTAATTTTGTTACTTACTTGTAAAGTCAGCCTAAGCGAGGTCTTGTTAAGTTGCTTGTCGTTTGTAGTCCCGTGCACGTACGATATGACTCCTGAATCTATATCCTGCTGAGTAAAGGAGTCCACTGGTTGACCTGACATCTCAATGTGGCCGCTGTGGAGAAAGAGAAACTCGGTTAATTTTAAACAATTAGCAGAAATCGAAGGGTACTTTACTATTAGCGACATGACATAACTAAATGCTGGTAAATTTTTTGGTGATCATAACCGCTGCTCCTAACCACGAGGTTTCGATCGTATTCACGATTTAGATCAGAAAGGCCATTTAACACATTCGAAGGTCAACTACAGCGCATGGGATATAAACTTAGCTGGATAAAAGTGCGCACCTACTCATGTGATAAAAAAATGTTTTTACAATATCAATAGTTTTCTAGTGTCATTCACGCAACATCAGCATTAAGCAGTTGATTTAATTGATTACGTGATTGATACTCGTGTCGTGGTGGCCCGGAGGTTTAAGACAGCCACTGCTCATGCATGAGGGTGCAAAACCTACCAACGGCAAGTACCAATGTGACATTTTCCGACTTACATGTACTTTCTTAGATTATTCAGACACCACTGACAAACGGTGAAGGAAAACATCGTGAGGAAACCTAGGCTTATAAATTTCTAATTATAAGTTTGAAATCCCCAACCCGCACTGAGCAAGCGTGATGATTAATGCTCAAACCTTCTCCGTGTGAGAACAGGCTTTGCTCAGCAGTGGGCATTTATAGGCTGTTGATGATTCTTTTTTTGCAAGCGTTCCGCATTCACACCATCTTTTAAAAAAATATTCCAAATACTGACCTATTAGCTTCATTCTTGCCATGTAGTACTGTGTACAAGAGGTCTTCGGGCGCTGTGTCCGGGTCCTCAGCCTTCAGTATATCTGAAGTGATCACTTTACGAGTGCCCTGTAATAACATTACGACAGGTGTAAGATTAAGGACAGTAGTATTGTACCAGAGGCACAAGAGAGAGGTTGAGAGCGCGTTTCGACCACCGATATTGGATATACCTAGTTGTAGTTGATACTTAGTCATTACGTATGTGATCTACAATGAATAAATGAATTTGAATTTCACGTAATGTTGTTAAATATCCGCGACTGGTTTAATTCTGTTTTCCTATGACTGAATTGAATATAAGCTACATTGCTCGCTATTGAGTTCTGTATGGTATGCTGGCTATTATACGTGGTTCATTTTATAATTTTTATGGGATAAGCCGGTAAACAAGCAGACGGATCACCTGATGGTAAACAATCGGCGTCGCCCATGGACACCTGGAACACCAGAGGCGTTACAAATGCGTTACCGGCCTTTTGGGATTAGGAATTTAAAGATTGTTGGGGATTTAGGGATTCGGGGTGTGCGGTAATTAGGGTGTTTTAGTAATATTGAGTATGCAGTTTGAGTTCTAAGTTAGAAATCGTGCATCATACATATTAAAAACCATAATAAATTATGCTCTTATAGCGTTACTCCGCAATAAGCATTCTGCATTCATAACGAAACTAGCTTTTGCTACTAACTTTAATGTGTTATTTGAAGATTATCTATCTAGCGAGAATTTACATAACATAACATCATTCCTTTTTATCCCCGAAGGGGTAGGCAGAGGTGCACATTACGGCACTTAGCCACTGTACAATGTAACACCCACTTTTCACTATTTATGTTATTAGTCCCATGTATTAGGGGGCGAGAATTTACTTATTACTTAATATTAGTATTCGAACCATTAATTACATTGGAACACCTTTTGCTGATTTAGCAACATAACATAATAAGGTCGAACAGTGAACCGAGTGCATTCATAGTAATTATAATGATGAAATGACCGCTAATGGGCCATCATTTTAGCGTAATTTTGTGTAATAAAGATTTATATCCAGTTCAACAAACTTTTAAAGCAACTTCACCTAGCAGCTATTCCATAGTCGCTAACCCAATTAGAGACTTCGGAACTACGCGGCGCAGGCGCAGGCGGCTGCACTGCGCGCACGTTTATCGAACGTCTACGCTGAAAATACACTAGCGCGTTCTTACGGCGAATTCCATCCAGCAGCTGTAGCCGAATGCCATTTAGCGCTTGTATGTAGAATAGAAAACCAAACTAAATGGAATTGACGTAAATTTTGACACTTGTCCGTGTCATCCCTATACATTTTGATTTCTACTCACCCTGTAGATAAGCGCTAAAGTGGCGTTTGGCTAAAGGCCCAGGTCCGTTATTTTGCTTAACCGTTCTGATGTTGTATTCTAATAACACACCCAAACTTTCGTTTTTATAACATTACTCCGATTAAGTTATGTGTACGGCAAGTTCTTCTTTGCTCTTTGTTTTCTTGTACTCAACCAATTTTTCTCCAATTGAAAACCCTGGGGTTTCTAATTTAGCTCGAATTAATAAACTTAAAGAAGTTCCTACCATTCAGTATAATGTTCTAAGACACGGCATTTTGATTTCGTCGTTTTTTATCGATAAATTTTCCATTTATGTATCCATTTTGTCTTTAGTAAGCATTAATAATAAAAATAACAATCATACAAAATAAATTATTAATAAATTAGTAAACTCAAAATACTCACACAAATAAATTAAAAATTAATCTGTTGTGCTTTCGGCCTTGGTGGAGCAAAATAACGCATGCAACTACACAAAAGCAACTAAAAACATTATTTGAAGCTCTGCAAACATTCTGAAAAATAATAAAACAAATAAAATAATAAACAAAGGTGCAGTTAAATAAAAAAAAACAAAAATCAAATGTGTTCTGAAAAAAAAATTTAAAAAATAAATAAAATAAAATCCAGCAGGCTTTAATTCAAACATGCTAAAGTTAATATTTAATTATATACAGTGCAATGCTTGCTTTTAAAGTAATAGTTTAAACCAAATCTACCAGCAGTGGTATTGTTCAGATAGCTTCTGTATAAGATTCAACTTGAACTGATAATTTAGTGGAATCTTCCATTGATAGTAATCAATTTTAATCCATAAATGTTTTGTATTAAATCTTACAAATTATTTTACACACCATCTTCATACTATGCCATTAATATAATGAAATGTTGAGATTTTACAAGCTAATTGTAAAACTATGGGTCCCAGGCTTGATTCGAAATTAGTCGGGTTACTTCATCGAACATTTACGTGGATAAACCATAATTAATAATGTGAAATTTAGATTACAAAAGCAATTCTCTGCACTTGAGATCAATAAATTGGTATTTGAGTGTAATTTGATTAGATAGCCAGGTTTTTAACATGTACATTTTAAAATAACTTATATATTTCTATAGTGATTTAAAAGTAACTAGGCATAGCATTGCAACTATTTTACTTCACTTACCTGAGTTAGCCTCAAGACTTTCCCCGGCAATAGGTTGAGCACGGGCGGGTCGTTGACCGGCGTGACGTTGACATGTAAAACGAAGGTGTTTCTCCCTTGAAGATAACTAGGCAGTGTGAACTTTGTCTCAGGGATCAGTTCCATGTCTAGTACAATTGCATCTTGATGGTTTTCTGAACCATCGTGAACGTAGCGAACCTGTAGTAAGGAGTTTTATATTAACAATTTTGTTAGTAAATTGTCAGTTAGATATGCGACGCTTGTGGCGTCGATTATTACGCATGACTATGGGTTCCGGGTGTGGTTCGCAACTAGTCGAGTTACCACATCAAATTAAGTGCATTATGTAGTTTATGTAGTAGGTTCCCATATAGTTGTTATTTAATAACGTATCATAATGAGGAAATCTTATAGGCTCTTGGTTGATGACATTATCATATTACATACTAAATTGACTTATATCATAGTACAATAAGCTTATTTACAGAATTAATGGCTTTGCAACATAAAAACGACCCTTACCTTATCCCGAGACAAGTCAAGCAGTGTAAAGAACTGTTTGGATTTCGTTTCTCCTTCAATAAAGTTGTATTGTTGCGAATTTCTTTGAAGAGAGAGGTCGATGGCTATCCTCCCATGTTGTGGTGACTGAGCGACGTGTAGTACTACGCCTGACGGTCGCACACCGTACTTGTGGTGGTCAAGGACCACGTCTATATTCTGTGTAGTTATTACTGAGACACCACCTTCTTGTACGGTGAGAGGAAACAGTGCTACAAGCTCTAGTTCGCTGCTTGATTTTGAGAATACCTGTAATTGAAAGTTATTGTTAAAATTTTTCCATATTATGTAATATAGTTGAAAATTAATACCAGGAATTCGAAACAGAAATATGTAGCTCTACTTTAAATCATATACTATTATATAAAGCTAAGTTTTTATAATAACTATCGTGAAACATACTAAATTAACTAAAAATCGCGGGTTACTCACGTGAATATACTTTTATTGTAATAAATATTTTTTATTACAATATTTCTAAAAGATTGATATAATTGGTAATACTTTGAAATTAAATCAATGTGTGGTTTGATGAGTAATTCAATTTGCTTATTATGTGGTTCAATAATACATGACAAATACGTTTAGGTAGTTTAGTAATTGTTTAATTAGGTTACTAACCTTATATTTCTCAGCGTAATCCGGGTTGATGCACAGATCCGAGTCACATTTGCAAGTGAAGTGATCGACGCCATGTTGTTCACAGACGCCTTGTGGTACACAGGGTGGGTTGCCAGGACTCGAGTGGCAAGGATACCACCACACGCACTTAGGACTTACACCGTAAGTAACCACGGCGTTTGGAAGCCCATAGATTTTCTCGTCCACTTCTATTGGCTTTATACAACCCTGTAAAAGAGAAAATTTTGGTTAAGAGTTATATTGAAATTTAAACTACAATAATTTGTAAACCACATTAATTTTTCCGTGCAGGAGTCGAACCCGTGATATGTTGAACAGCAGCTGTTTACCTAACCACTACCCCTACTGAGATATTGAATTAACTGGGTTTTTTTTATTATATTGGATGGGCCGACGATTGACCACTATCTCGCTTGGTGGTAAGCGATGATACGGTCTACAATGGATCATTTCGTCCCATAAGCGAGCGAATTCACTCGAGTCTTGGACACACTCAGATCTACCCTTCAGGAAATACAGACTGGCAAAGAACTCCACTCCTTAGCAGAGCGTACAAGGAAGCTTGTTGCGAAGCGCTTCGTGCCTGTGGCTGAGAGATCTACACCATGAATCGGTGTCGCTTCGCCGATTGTCTTGTAGTACGATGGTAGAAAGGACAAGTTATGCACACTCGCCGAAATGTAATGGAAATGGGATTAATGGGAATCTTCAGGTAACCTCGAACCAGGCCAAAGCCCCGATACTGGAGTTGATACTCACCATGATACTGGAGTCAGCAGCTTTGATGCCCTTCGTGAAAGCTCTCTGTTGCTTCTCACTGTCTATACCCCCGAGGTAGAAGGAGTCTGATAGGTCTAGATACCTCGTGCCGCCGCTCTCTATCCGCGTATGCATCGCTATGTTGTCCACCGTCAGCTGTAAGAGTGTGGTTAGGATGTTAGACAATTCTTCATTTCTTAGTTTCAATTCAAATACACGTGCTAAATTAATAAATATGTAGTTATTATGTAAAGTTATTCTTATTAGATAGAAAATATACGACAAGCTAAGATACTAGGTGTTCAATATTATCGCTAACTATATCACACATAAAGCCAAGCCTTAATAAAATTTAATACACCTACTGCACGATATACTTCACTACAATGTACAAAAATCGTTTGAGTTGAAAAATAAGACGTCGTCCCGTCGCCAGGCTATATTTTTTATAATGATAAATACGAGTATCTATTCGCTTAGACGCAGAGGTTTCAATGCAAATCATAATTTATATTGTTGATAGTTTATTGAGAAAGTGAAAAAGCATAGAAAGCTGTGGTATTATAAATAACTTATTATTAAAGAGAAGAACCCTGTGGGTTTGCTTGATAAGTTTGTAAATAAAATGAAAATGAAGGGCAGCACCCAGAGGGTATTAAAGTGACTTTGTGACAGTGATCAAGATTTCACTACGTCTGTCACTAAGCTGTATCTCACGAACCGTAATCATTGGAAGCCAGGGTAAGCCGTGATAGTCAAATGATAGTAATATCATAAAAAGAACCAAAGTTATAGCAATCACCGATTGTATTTTATTGTATTCTATATTAATACAACTTTATTGTATTCTAAATTATTACAGAAAAGGAAATGACAAACATAAATAAAAATAATAATGGGCACAAAGGCGGTCTCACTGATACCAGACAACCTGGTAGAAATCACTATAAGTGATACGACAGTATTGCGTGGAAATGATATAAAGTCTTTCGAAAAATGTCAGTAGCCATGTCAACACATTTCCAGTTCTGACGTCATAGAACGGCAAAAAAAACAATATCATACTATACACATTTTGTATATGCATGGATTTCTCCACAAAAGCGTAGCCTGTCCATTAAATCTACCCATATTCATCGACTTAGAAAATCTATCTACTTATATCTGCTTGATGTTCGCTCAAGCGGAAACAGCTTTGATTCATCGACAACATCTTTACTAATATGATAAATGTGACAGTGTGTTTGTTATTCTTTCTTTCATGTCGAAAAGGGGCCGTTTTATGGTATGGTTTTATCAAGTACTATCTGAAGATGCGTTAGGACTTTGAAGGGTACTTATATCCCTTGACTAGGCGTGTGACGTGTCACCAAAGCTAATAGTTTTGTATAAACATAATAAAATGGTTCGAATAGTATTTGTATCGTATTTATGGTATAGCAATTTTATTGTGGGCAAGAATGTACATTAAGCTAGCTGCTTAAGAACTAATACAATTAAATCTTATATGCAATTGCCAATTGGTAATGGGGTCAGCTCTCACATAGGACTCTTAACAAAACTGGTTAACAGTGGGTGTTACAATGTATAGTATGTGTACATTGAGTACTTCTGTCTACCTCTGTGGTAATTACTGTGACGTTGTAATATAATCTTATACTCTTACACTATTATATAAAGCGGAAGAGTTCGTTCTTTTGTTTATTTGTTTGAACGCGCTAATCTTCGTAACTACAAGTCTGATTTGAATCATTCTTTTTGTGTTGGATAGCGCATTTATCGAGGATGGCTATAGGCTATAAAACATCACGCTACGACCAATAGGAGCTGAGCAAAGCGTGTGAAACCGCGCGGAAGTAGCTAGTAAACTATATTTTATATACAAAATTGCATTTCGCATCTTGATTTTCATAATTTTCTGCTCCATCGCAATGCGTTTCAACGCTAAGACGCCATAAATAATCAAATTATACTTCGTTTTTATTTGGGTACATTAAGAATAGTCATGGCAATGCTATTAAAAAAATACTCGACAAAAATAAAGCCACTGAATATTTCTTCTTATATCGAAAACGCGAAGCGAATCAAGAAAATTTTGAAAGTTTAAAAACGATCGTAATCGACACGTTTTCTACTAATTCTCATAAAGACTTTCAACTTGAAAGTTACTGTCTCTCTCTTGTCTCTAATTAGTCTCTTGAAACTTAAAAGAGACTTCAAATAAATAGGTAAGATTTGTAAACATTGACTTATATGAACAGTCAAAAAGTTCGCTAGCTAGCATATTTCAAACATATACTTGCATTCCTTTCGCTTAGTGTAAAAGATATAAATATACCAAAGCATAGCAGGTTTAAAAATCGCATTATTTTAAGAATAAATCAAACTTAGATACATTATTTTTATGGTACACAATTGCTTGGCAGGAGGCACATAGACCATACAAGGGTTATCACCAACAAACATGCACAATAACATTATAGATAGCAAACATAAATACTCCTATATTTAGCAAGGATGATAAAACTTAAAGACATTTGTGATAGGAAGACGTCTGATAAGAGTGAACAGTTACTAGTTCTTAGTACGAGTATCGGGTACTCTGATTGGCCGGATACAATGAAGCAACCAATCAGAGCGTCGAACGCGGTCTCGTTTCGATTACTTTAAACGTAAAACAATCTTTTAAGGCCTCAGAAATAAAATGATGAAATGAATTGATATTTATTTCTACAAATGGGTTACAAAGTAACACTTTTACACGTCAACCTTTAAATAGGGTAGTTGCCAGGGAGTGAAAATTAAAAATCTAATTAGACCCTCAGTTAGATAATGAATAATATTAAACACGTATTTTTTTATTATTTTCTCGTGTAAATTTACAATACTTAGATAAAATGGAGTTAATTTTAGGTCGTTACGTCACTAATTGCTATAAAATGTAGCGCATTGTGACGTCACACGATATTTCAGAATTCAGATTAATAAATCGACGAAAATATTTAATTTTGTGAGAAAAGAAAAAATACATGTGTAAAGTTTTAAATTAATCTACCAGACGGACATTAAAATAAAATTTAGGCAACGATTCTATTACTATATGAGAGCCGGCGTGCCCTCAGAATAAGATGACGTCAGCTCAATGCCGACAGCTAAAAGTTTGGGATAAGCGAAAACGTTCCTTACGCATCTTTAATTACCATTTTGCGTACACTAAAGTATAAATAATAATAGACAAATCTCACCTCAATCATAGAAGGGTAAAATGATAAATGCATCTTGTGCCACTGTCCATCATTGACCCTCACTGTGTGCACAATCTGACCACGAGCCATTTTGACCCGTATCACGCCTTCTAAGATCTCCACAGCCAGGAAATCAGATCCCCGACCGCCCCCAGCATTGTATAGAATTATCGCATTCTGTGCTATAGTTTTAAATTCTATTTGCCATCTGAAACATTTGAAATAGTGTGTCAATATTTTAAAATGCATTTAGAACAATTAATATACAATTTTATGTAATTAATACGTGGTTCTTATTCTATATTCTTATACTTACTTTCCTCCGGCTCTGGAGTTTATCTTCGGCAATATAAGGTAGGCACCCTCATCAACGAAACTGATGTCCGAATTTAAGTCGGCATCAAACTCTGGAGCGCAGTTCCACGTTACACCTTCCACATGGACTGAGCCAGAGCGGCTGCGAGCTTTTTCAATGATTTTTACACCATTGTAGTAAACCTAGAAACGAGAAAGGTATATTAAACAACAGTTTATTAATTACAACTATTGTTACTTGAAATATAAAAGTTATAAGATATCAAATTTTACTTATATATTTTGAACATACATACATACATATACATTTGGGAGCCACTACTTTTTCTTTTTTTCATATTATCGAAACCTTTCCCTCCACTGTACTTATAAATTTAAAAAATATTCATTTTCCAACAAAACGCTAACATTTTAAACGTAACTAAATTGTCTTTAAATACAACATAATGTTACCAATTAATAAAATACTTGTATAAGAAACTATTTATCAAGAAATGTAAAAGAAAGCGCTGGTGGTGGCTCCATTTCTCTGTTTCCACTTGTACTTACATCTTCCATGCAACCACGGAAGTTTTCCATGTGGCCCAAGAAGAGCTCGGAGAAGTCACCCTGGCCTCCAAGGAAGATACCGAAATGAATATTTAACTCAAAGAAACGTCCTGGCAGTCTTTTCTTAACTGCTGTTTCGTCAACCTGTAAATAAAATAGATTGTAGTAAGTGGGCAAACATAGATCAGCCGTAATCCGTAATTCATTGAATGTGTGGGGATTTTTGTGCGTTATCACACAGGTATATTTTGATTGAGAGTTTGTGTTAATGAAGGTGTATAATATGTGATTGTCTGCGCAGTGGATACCGCGCATATTGCCGGATCTATTCAAGCACAGAACAATTACTTGTTGTTTCGGATCCATGTGTGATGCGTTTATGAATTTGTATGTTTGTAAATGCATCCATGTCTCAAGAGGGAATACTAGAAAGGTAGGAAAATGTCTAACCTTCATAGTAAGGTTGGCTTCACGGCGAATGATGCTGACATGATGCCACTGAGAATCATTCAGGTGTATCCCCTTGGGAGACGACAGCTCACTCTCGCCCGCACCAAGGTTAATGTGTAATTTCAGTCTGCCGCCCTCTAGACGTATCTGGAATAAAAAGTGAAGTCATACGTAAGTTTATTATCAGAAAGAATGTTTTAAAAAAAAATTCTCTTGGTAATCTATACTGATATGTAAAGCTGAAGAGTTAGTTTGCTTGAACGCGCTGATCTCCGGAACTGCTGGACCGATTTCAATATTTTTTTGTAGGAGACTTTTTGTATGGAAGGCTATAAACCATCTCGCTATGGCCAATAGGAGCGGGTAACCGGTGAAACCACGTGGGGATACCTAGTAGAGTAATATAATAAAAGAGGCTTTCTTAGCTTTTAGCATAAAACAAAACAAAGTTAATATAAAATACATTAAAGAAGGGCCAAATTAAAAGTACCCTTAACCCACGGGCATGCATGAAAAGATTGATCGATTGACTGTTGATGAAGCGAAAGAGGTATGTAGGAATCGTTCTCTGCCTACCACCATGGGAGACAGGCGTGAAATTATGAATGTATGTATAAAATAAATCTGCAATATCCTTTGTGAAGTTTTTAATCAACCTATATTGGAAACTATAAAAGGCATTTCTAATTAGAGATCGTGGAAATTCAATAAAGTTGCAAGCAAAGCTCGACTTTATTAAATTTTTCTGCGACAAACGTAATTAGTTACATGCTGAACAGCTTGTTTGCCATCACGGTTCATCTCTTAGCTGCAAAAGGTATCGATTGCCGATAATTGGTACGCTTACTTTTTGTTTTTCCTAATAGGGATTGGATTCACAATTAACTGTCAGTTCACCGGTAACTTCACGGGAAATTGTCGTGTTCGGACATTCGTCACAATAGGTACTTTATGCACGAGGTTTGTAAAGAATTGCTGTTCGTGTTTAGCTGACACTCTGACAGTACCTACAACTTTTGGTGACTGAAGTGTTGAAGTTGTTTTGTTTTATCATTTTTAAATAGTGTGAGCCTTCAAAGTGTATGTGAAGCAAAAAATTAAATTACTATGTGATGAATGAACAGCTCTTAACTCGAGGGCACGATCAATTCTCGAGATGGTAGATTTTGCCTTCTAGATAATATTTACTGGGTAAGTATTATTACTTTTTTGTATATAGGTTCAGACCTCACCCATTTCTGGGGAAATACACCAAAGTTGTAGTATTATTACTATTATTAGTAGGTACGACGTCATAAATCTGCTAACAATCCCAGCGGCGAGACAGGGTCAGCAGTGCTCTATAAAGGGAAGGAGAAGCCTTTGTTCAGCAGAATAAGCTGTGGCTATTGTTATTCAGTTCTATTCTAACTGGATGTATTAGAAAGAGGTGGCATTCAGCCGAGGTTTGTGCCATTAAGATACTATTGTAACGCTGTCACTGTATGGAGGACATAAAACAATGCGCATTGTGTCTTCAAAGATATTAGGTTACAAGTTTTTAAATGAGAATCAATCTACGTAGGTAGTTACATTAACGCAGCTCGGTAATAATAAAATCTTACTCCTTTGTGTTCACTTATCTTAGAATTAAATTATTCTTTTAATTTGTTAAATACGGCACTCAGATTTGTAAATACAAGGTGCAATTAGTTGGTAATAGAATTGTTGTAGTAATTACTTATGAAAAATGAAGATATCTTACCATACAATAGTCCGTTTTGCCGGCAGCAAGAAGTAAGAGGGCGTCCGCAAGATGTGTACGAAAACGAAAGCTCATATCAGTCACACCTTTGGCCTCTTGTAGTGGGTATGAAATGTAACTGGCTCCATAGAAAGATGCTGCAAAAAATAGATACGTCTTTTAAATTATTGCAATATTAACTTGCGACATCAACTCGCGCTTTTTATTGCCCAATGGTTCAAAATCTATTACCAAACTTTGTTGCGCTAATTGTATTCGAGATCCCTCGTTCGGTAGTAGCGCTTGTGATCACTCAACCGATAAGATAGTCATACATAAACGATTGATATACATGATGAACTTAAAATGTTATGCTATTGTGTATTTTTATTAATTAATAGGTAATTATAGCAATTTAATAGCTGTCATTTTTTTATACTTAGTAGATAATTGACAAGAAGCACGATCGTGCGCGTGTAAGAATGAATAAGATGTGATGATGTTCCATTTCATAATATAAAATTATTTAACTTTAGTTATAAGTTTCGGTTTTTTCAGAAACTCAGTAAAATATATCAAATAAGCTAGCCCTATTACATGAGACTTTACACACGACATTTAATATATGCACATCTGCCTGCCTCTTTGGTATTAAAAAGCAAGCTTTTCCATGACTCCGGGAGTCACCCGGGCCTAATGATCTGCCTTTAACAGATACCTAGGTTCTACCTTTAACAGATACCGGTATCTTAAATGTAACATCTATGTGCAACAGATGCATGCATCTGTATAACTAATATGTAGGTATGCGGTTCACTGTGTTAGTCATATAATACTAACATATTTCTTTGGTACATACTCACCCATGTCAACAAGATGGCCAATTAGGTCACATCTTTTCACAAATGAGGTAATGTATACTGTCATAATTATTAACATTTGAAAATTGAATTTTTTTTATTAAAGTATGCTTATTTTAGTCTGCACATTTTAGAAGTTTAGGATTCAAGTAGTGGCAAAAATATTGGCTGACAATGAACCTCTTTTCATGATTCTTATTTAATTCTATAGACATACATTGGCATTAGTACTATCATTTAACAATCACGCTGTTACTAGTATCAGATACTTCTGACTAAGAACTGTCTTGGTAAATAATTGCTTACTGGTATAGTTTTCAGTAAAACAATAGATTAAGTTGATAAAAAAACAAATAATATAAACTGGTACAACATTTGAATTTGGATAACAATACTTGTTTTTTAATTTGGAATTTTATTCAATTGTTTCGCATTCAGTTCTTATTTCAAAAATGCCAATTAGGTTTTTAATAAATACCAGAAGTCAAAATGTTTAGGTATATGGATTTAGACTAAAGAAAAAGTGGGTAAATGGAGTCCACAATAATGAAGTAATTAATTAATCTTACTAATATAAATGAGAAAATTTTATTTTTATTCGTTTGTTACTCTTTTATATCAAAACAGCTGAAGGGATCAGGATGAAAATTTGAACCTGAGTCAATAATTATGGTCTGGTATAATACATAGGCTGCTTATTATCCTTCAGGAATGGAATTGAAGCATTTGGCAGAAGGTAGCAATAAATAAAATTGTTTATTAACCAATCACATGCTATATTATGTTTTGTATGTGTTAAAATACTGTAAGACCTAGGTACCTAAAATCAATTACCTACAACAAATTGTAATAGTTCCAATTATGTGAACATATAATCTACATAGGTAAGTAGTTAATTATTTTTTGAGGGGAGAAAATTATTCAATGGCTTAACCTGCCCGGGTGAGGCGAGAGGGAGGGCAGACCATACTAACTAAAATTCAACCCGTTTCTACTCCTGCACTTTGAGCCAGAACTGCGAAGTCATCTATCAGCCCAGTTAGTTTATACAAGCTTTATTATTATACTGCTTTATATATCAATGTCACTTCATCAGCATTAAACATTATGCTATTATGATACAATATATTTTCTTACATTTACACACCGTTTTATTTCCTGAAGGAGCAGGAAGATATGCACATATTTGATGTACCATCTACTTCTTGCTACTACATCATAAAATAAAATATGAGTCCTATGTTATAGAGATTTAGAGCTCAAGAAAGAAGTGTTTAAAAGATATTCTTAAGTCGTTTTCTATGTTGTTCACCTAAATACATCTACACTTTATACCACAGTACTTAAAATAAGCTTGGCTAAAGTAACTCCAACATGAATGGATGTGTTAACTACAGAATAACATCCAGTACATATTCTGTCTATATTAACCATTTCTTATAATATTGTGATATTTTTAAACTAAGGGATTTATTCCTTACCTTTATCAAAAGCATATCCCGCGACAACCACGGATAAAATCAATAAAAGTTCCATTGTAAAAAACTATGAACACAAATTAAACACAAAATATGTTACTGCAAATTTTAAAATTCATGGTTCACGGAATATTTATTTATGTCCAAAGATACTTGTCGTCAACCACATAACAGGCGTGGCGTCCTTACGAAATTAAATAATACATAACATGAAACGAATGTCGAACATTAATATTTAAATATTCTTACACTTATACCATTTTCAAGTTATTAATATAATTATTTGTTAAGTGAGAGAGCCTTTTGTTTTCATTTTAAAATATTTAGTCAGATTCTAAAATTATTGTATTTTATTTTAGTCAAGAGTTGAATGAAATGAATGACTACGTCCTTTATGTGTGTGAGATCGTTCATCCAACTCAATTTACGTTCTTTTGTTGTTCATTCGGTTAAAGGTATTTTTAGACTGTTTCTTCTTTTCTCACAGATAATATAACACACAAAATCTGAGTTATGATTTTGTCGAGGTGAAAGAAAACAACATTATTTACTGATACAATGATAATAGGAATCACCATTCATGTTATGATAAATATGTGAGATAAGTAACGAAAAATTAAAAATATTAGTGTTCGTTGATGACTATACCATTGACATAAATAATATAGATTTCAAACTATTGTCTATAGGAAGAATTTAAAAAGTATAATAAATGTCCATTTAGTGATGAAGAAAACCATAGACTTATAATAAGCAGACCAAACATTAATTCCTGTCCCGGAGAACCTAACGGGTAACCGGGGTTCCGGCTCGACGTGCAGAAGAACGTCGAGCCAGAGGGTTTTTAGTCAGTAAGAGTCTGACACTCCCTCTCGCCTCACCCAGGCGGGAGCAGTCATTTGATGATTTTCCCCACTTAAAAAAACATGAATTCCTAGTTATACGTATAATGATATCCATCATTCGTTGTCCTTGTTCTATCAAGCACCAATGTAATATTGGCGTCTCGTTCTTTTACGTGTAGCCACACTGACTGCTCCACACAAAGACAAATATCGACATGATTGTAGCCCATGTAGCCAGTTTTTCGCGTGCCTCCATATTGCTATGTTTACCTACAACTGTGTCATCATAACATAACATAACACAATTATGAAACGTTTAAATAATCTAAATTAAAATGATGAAGTGTAGTGCGTATCTATGTAACAGTAATAGCTATAAGAAAATACCTGGAATAACTTTTCATCGGTAGGTTTTTATTTACGTTGTTGTGATAATGTTTAATCGTTTATAACGAAGCTTCATTAACTATCACGCCATTTTCCCATACGTTTACTTAGAATACAATGAAGATATCACATAATAAAATAAAATCAACTTAATTGTTCATTCAGACAGTTCAAGTACTTGTAGAATCAACAGAGGACAGATTTAGTGTATCAAAAAATATATTAAACTAATAAATATATTGCTTTCATATTGAGTAATAGTTACTACAATGTTGCATAATTTAACATACTCGTTTTTTACAATTGTATTATAGTTGTTATATTATGTACTTACCCACTATGTATCATTTTTATCACAATTGCCTATTATCATCAAATAACATCATCATATACCTGAAATGCTTAGGAATGTACAACGACAGGACAAGGAATGAACTTGTCTTGAGATTGGTCAGTGTTATTGAGGGGAGAGAGACAACATAAAACATATCTCTATCGTCCCTATTAAATAATTTTTGAATCTATATTTTTTATTCCTAAATACCTAGTTTTAGAACGATATAATTTTCATAGGATATTCTCATACATTTCCAGTAACACATAACAAATTTGATATTTATTCAGTATTTATAAATATTGACTATTTAACCCAAAAACACGCTTATTCCTTATAATAATAATTTACTTTATTTTTAATGCCAACCTTAGTCCGGCCGGCGGAGGTTTGAGCTTCACAAATTTTAGGTAATGTTTGGTCTGCTTATCTATTTTAAGTCTGTGAAGAAAACACATCACACTCTGGCTTTAAATCCAATTAGCTTAAATGGAAATAATTGGTATGGACAGAGTAGACTGAAAGTACTCATCATTATGAACATTTTGACTATGAGACCACTCACGATTTCCTCTTAAGAGGTTGTTAGTGAAAAAAAAAATATTAATACTTTGAAAAAGTTTTATTCTTCAGGACTCAAAAGTGGCTCAACGTTATATAAATGTTGATCAGTAGTTGTAAATACAAACAGAGTATGTAGGTATCGTGAAAGTTATGTTTCGAGTGTGTGGTATATTTGGTACTCAAACATGTTGTAAGTACTAATGTCCATAATTAGAACCCATCTTAATCCAAAATCTGAAGATAAGGGTTGGTTTTTGATATTAGCTTTATAGAATTTCTCCCAAAAATCGACAATAATCTACATCTAATCTTTATTCCGCCTCTGATATTTAGAATAATGTGGCCCCAGACATTAAAACATCAGATACTATGAATTTAACGAATGCCACGCGGCTGAAGTCGCAATCGAAGTAAAACAGTAAAATTATGAAAACTTGTCGATAACGCTATAACAACCAATAATAACGTCTATACTTTTCTATTGTTTCAAAAGACACATGATTACACCGCCAGTTCAATCCATCATTGCAAAGCACTTGGAAGTGTAGTAATGTGTATTTCTAATCCATAAAACAATTAATTTATCTATGGATTGACAAGAATGTATTCTGTGGATTATTGGATTGTCTTATCAGCTGACAGCTGACGTTTAATGTCACGAAGAATGCACAAACGTCAATTAGTGTGATGTCAACTGTGTGAATAGTGTTGCATTGTATTTGTATCCACATTATTGTACCATTGTGTCTGTATGTGTTAGTGAACAGCATTTGCAACGACGATTAAACACTTGTTCGTGATTACATTCAGTATTTTGGCTTAAAATTACACAGATTTCAGCTGATCGGGCTTAAATGTACCGTGTTGTGTAGTTCTGTTCTAGTGTATGTAGTGTTATTTAGTAATAGTAATAGTAATAGTAAGGGAAAATAACATAAAATAATACCTACCTACATAGATGTAAATATTACTGTATATTAAGTTAGCTAAACTGTAAATTTTAATATTACTTATTAAAAATGACTAGTTCCTCTGCAAAAGTGAGTAATATTTTAATATTAGTGATATGTACAATGAGTCAATCAAAAAAGAGGCTTCAATTTTATTATATTTATTAGGTTGACGATATATTTCGCGAGGCGGGAACAGCGTTCAACAAACTCTCTGAGATGACTATGTCATTACAATCTGCGGAAGATTCAGTTTCAGCAGAGTGAGTATTTTTCGGCAATTAATTTACAGGTTAATTTACTTCTGTTACCTATTTTGTTTTTCAATTGTTTCTAGTACATAAGTACACGCTCTAAATATAGGGCGCAAATACGGGGTGGGGCTGGGCGGTAGTTGCTAGCCACCCCGCTGCGTTCCGCGCTGCGCATCGTACATCTTACATCCTGAAAAATCAATTCAGCTAGTCTAGAATATCCTTTGTCTGAATCTAGCCGGTAGCGCGCAGTACGAGTTGCGCGCCGCGCGTCAGTCGCAGTTCAGCTGGCGTTCGAGCAGCAGTGTTTTGTTTAGTGCTCGTGATTTTTCAACTGGTGATTGCAAATTCTTTATATTTTAGTGTTGAGCAAGTGCAAAATGTTAGAAGTGCACCTTAGTTCTGTGAAATCAAAGTGTTTGATGTTTGACCATTTTATGACATAACATAACATCACGCCTTTTTATCCCCAAAGGCGTAGGCAGAGGTGCACATTACAGTGCTTAATGCCACTGTATAATGTAACACCCACTTTTCACTATTTATGTTATGAGTCCCATGTAATAGAGGGCGAGCCTATTGCCATACACCGGGCAACCATACCATTTTATGAATTTGGTAATTTCTTCTTTACAGAGTATGGAACCCAGAAGATTTGGAGACACTGCGCTCAAGTGTACACCGCTTTGCTGTTGAACTGAATAAAATTAGTCAGCATATAAAACTAAGAACAATGTAAGTACAATTTATGTATTCTTGAGTAATGCCTGTTCATTTCACTGTAGTTTCTTTTTTGTGTGCTTTTGGTGTTATTATGTTACTTGTATTTTTCAGCGACTTAGTAATTAATTTCTTTGTTTCCGCGATTGTGAAAACAAATATTTCTAGCATGAGCTACATGTGCTATGCCTCATAATTATTATTTTTGCTCAAACAAATATTAAAGAAAACAAACACTGCTACCGGATGATTATGGTTAGATCATAATTTAATATTTTAATTAAGCATTTTTGGTTTAAATTATTGCACAGCGAGTATTTGCAAGAATTTATAAATTCATGATTATGCAGATACAGTTCTGAGAAAAAGTTAGGCATGTAAGGGTTCTGTGGGGTGGGGTGGGGTGGGGTGGAAAGGGGTGTTTTTATCTGTGGCCTGAGCGTCGCGAATGCGCGTCCCACTGTATTGATTTATTTATGCGGGGGTGGGGGGTAGGAAGTAGTACAGAGGAGGTGGGGGTGCAATGAAAGAATTGAAATTTTTGAAATGTAGGTTGCAAGGTCAGGGGTGTGGTTGGCTAGAATCAGTACCTACTTAAGCTGTTGTCTTTCACTGAATACACTGAGTAATACTAAACAAAACAAATTTTTAAAGTTTTGTGGTTACCTAATTATATTGATTCAAACAATAGAACAACTGAAATACACCTTTTTAAATAAACATTTCTTCTTTTTACTAATTATATTTGAGATAATATCTAAAAATATAGGAACCCGGTAAACATTCATAATAAAAATAGTTTCTATTGAAAATTTTTAAAATGCCTTTGAGCATGCATTTGGTGTATCTTTTTAATTTCTAGACCGCTTGCAAACTATTAAATATTAGCACTAGACAGTTACATAAATATTAGTGCTAGAATTGATAGAAAATATGAGTTCCCATGGAAAAATTATCTTCATAACCCTGGAAACTCAACATTGTAAAAACAATATAACGGCACACTTGCAAAAAAATACTTACAGTTTTTTTAGTTGAATGGGGAAATTTATGTATAACCTGCTCCTGCCCGCGACTATGTCCGTCTCTTGATTCTAAGCTATTTTCCCACAAATTTTCAGCTATATCGATTTATGCAATTTAGCCATTCTAGAGTTTTACATAGTAAACTGACACAACTTTCTTTTATGTATGTAGATAATATAATTAATATAAAAATGTTAAATAAGCCTCTACAACATAGGGCCTACAATTGCTGAAAATTCAATGAGTGGGATACTTTTATGTTATAACTAACTGTAAGTATTTTTTTTTAAAGTAGCCTGAAGAGTAGGTTCAATTCAAAATGACTTTTATGCAGCAGAAATTGACAACATTTAAACAATAGTGATTTATGAAAACAGGTGCCAAGTCAGGTTCAGACAGCAGTGTCGGAAAATTTTTTTGTCATTTCATATGAGAGTATAACTTTCTTGGTATTTATATCTGTTACAGCCAAAACTACTACCCAGTCAAAAGTACTATCGACTAGAAAAACCAATCAAAAGTACTTTTCACAGATTTGGCTGGTTAGTAGTACTTTTATAGCAGCAACAAACAAACATTAACTGTGAAAATTACAACTGGCTAGCCATTCCAGTTGATGACATATTAGTACCTGGTGTGAGACAGATGGACACCAGAGACTTCATAAGGAAAGTCCATAAGTACAATCAAATTCAGACAATATCAAAAACTATGCAAAAATATCACAATATGGGTATGATCAGTATAATAACAAAATTGAAATATTGTTAGTTGGTTAGTTAGTTAGTGCTAGAACTGATGGAAAATATGAGTTCCCATGAAACAATTAACTTTATAACTTTAGAAACTCAACATTGTCACAATATAACGGCACACTTGAATAAAAAAAATGTTGTCAATTTAGTCATAACTAAAAAATGTTAACAAGATATAAGCAACGCAGATTTGTTTAGAGTTGCACAGACTGTAGTTGAGTGTTTGCAAGCGGTCTTCTGAGTCCCTCGTTCCTACTTGTAGGAAAGCTGCTTCGTATGTGTTGTGAACGAGGTAGACACTTTGTGAATGTGAGTACTTTTTACATTTTTATTTTAAATTGCTTGTCTGTTTGTTGATTATTTTGCACATGTTGAGTGTAAAATAGTAGTGCAATATTATGTATGTCGCGTTTAAATAAACTTGGTTCAGTACTCTATCTCCTTTAGTTTTTCATTTTATTCCATTTGAAAAATTATAATGGGGTTAAAGGTACTGAGCTATGCGTCAAAATTTAGTTAATATCTTATCGACGTCTTAGAAGCTTATTATTATTATTTGTATAAATAGTACGTTTTAATATCCATATTTTTTTCTTTTTAGGTATAACTTGCGTCGATTATTAGAATTGGACAGCGGTCTAATTCTAAGTGTCCAAGGTTCCCTTCCCGATGTCAACCAACAACCATCGATGTATGTAATACAATCGCCATCACTCGCGACAAGTTCGCAATCAAGTTGGGTTGCGTATGCAGTTCCTGTAAGAACATACATGCCGAATACAAATCCGGCAAATCTTGAATTGCCGCCTTTAGCGCCTTGCAACGAAATCAGCGATCTTTCGGCATCAAACGATGTAATAATACCTCCAGGCATCCAGATCCAATCTGACCTGGAACCACTGCCTGTGCTCCACCTTTCGGACCTAGAGCCCAGCCTGTCGCAGACAGATAGTAAATTATACAATCCTGAATCGAACGAGACTTCAGAGAGTGAGCTAGACGGCTTCAACCCGGAGGTGGTGCCACCTGTCCCTCCTGAACAATTACTACAAAGCGAAAAGAAGAAAAAACTAAAACGAAAAACACCCGATCAACAACCGGGTGAAAGTGAAGTAAATAATAATGTGGATGGTGACATTTGTATTACTGCGGCACAGTTATTGCGCTACTTGGACTCTCAAGAGCCCAACTTACCGTCTCCGCAGGTACCCAACGTGCAACCATCAATTACTGCACCCCCATCGGTCGCATTATCCGGTTCAGCCCTAACTCATACAGAAACCCAAGACGCGATTATGCCAAATAACAGCCTGAGTGGATTAAAGCAACAACAGATATTGCCCCCTCCAAATGAAGACAAGAGGAAAAGTGGAAAATCTATATATATAAACAATCAAATACACAATAGATCTAATAAACAAATAAAATCAACGATAAAAAAGAAAAACCAGACACAGAAGGCTGGTCCGGCTAAAAAAGGAACGAATTCTACAAAAGTCACGCGCCTCGAAAAGAAAGGAAGTAAAGTTGTGGACGTTATTAATCAGAAATTGCAATGTTTTAATGACAATGCCAGACACTTCGATGTGAAAGAAGATTCGAGTTTCGGGTTTGCGGAACACATCATTGATGACACTAGCATGCCTATTCTAACCAAACAGCCAGACCCAGTAGTGAATCCAATAACAGACAAAGAAAAGCATGATCCTTTTGTTTTCTGTGATTCTGAACCTGCTCCCGACCCGCTTAGTACTTTCCGAGCTCGTTGGTGTAGCAAAAGAGTCTCGCTTACGATTCCCAACCAGTCTACCAGCCACCAGCCACCGGCCACAAGCGAAATAACGAAAATCAAATCGTTACCAATAACACCAAAAAACAGTCCAAAAAAACAAGACCCAGAAGCTGCGAAACCTGTAATACCAAATATGGCCACGTCCGTGACTCGTGTCGTGACAAGGTCGAAAAGCCGCCAGGGAGAGCTTCTTCAACCGTTGCTTCCCCCAAAACGTTCCCGAAGAGGCAAGAAGATAAAATCCGAAAAATAAATTTAGTAAGAGAAGCTGATATAGAGCTTGAAACCATATTGTGACAACAACGTAAATTCGGTTGTGGTAAACTAGCATTAAGGAATACACGCATTTCCTCTCTTTTAATGTATTTGGTTGTTTACAACCATTTGTGGTTGTTCATATTAGTTAGAGTAAAAAATACAAAATCCTAAATACCAATTTGGTGTTCTAGAATTAATACAAAAAGTAGAGTGGAAAATAATTCATTACCCGACATAAGTGTTGTCATTTTCTAAACTTTTCTTATCGTCGTCGAATCCTTTTTCCGAATACCTCTAAATGTAAATATGTATGGATGTGTACATGTTGGATTGATATGGAATGAATGGATTTTCTGTTGTATATTATTAAGACTGTGAGGCCGGTACATTGTAATAGTAGGAACGGCCTAAACGTACTGTGATACAAATTTGTGATAAGCACTCGCAAATTAATGATATTTCATCAATTAGCGAGTATGAGTGAATGAAGTTAACATGTGAATAAAGACGCGTGTAACTGTGGTTGACACGGCTTGTATACAGTTTCCGGAAAACAGGATTTTTTCTAATGTATGATTGAGAATTTCAAATCCTTGTGGACCACGATATACGTATCACCTGTCACTTTTTTTAATGTCCTCTCATTATTATGTTAACTCTGAAGCATTCTCCTCTTCCCGGCTTTGTCGTTGTTTCATCATTGTTCATGTCTACTTGTAGTTATATTGACAGTACGTGCATATTATATGTACTATACCTATACAATATACATATAGTGTCCGATCGCAACTACTTTTAGACTGAAACCGAACCGAAAACGGAATTCGGCAACTGTCATAGTTTTGGCCAATAGGTACCGAAACTTTCTTATAAGGATCATATTTTGAGTTAAATTAAAGAAAACGTTATTCTTGGCACCTATTGGTGCGATACATAGATCCCACAATCCCCGCATACTGCCTCTCTCAGGAGGCGTTTGGCCCGCTGGGCTGATCCATTCCAATTTAGAAACTGACCCTTTATAGAGCCTCCCCGGAAGGGCACGCTGATGCCACTCACGAAGTCTATGCACAATATCAAGTCTTAGCCGATGTCCCACAAGAGCGTCCTGAATCGCGCGATATCTTTCGCTGGTTCTACTTACTTTCTCCTTACGGTTAGGTTCTCGACGAGGCGATTCGAAATGAATCTTGCGAAGAGCTTTTCCACCTCATTAAGTAGGACGATGGACCGCTACGCGGAAGTCCGTATCCGCCTTCTACGACAGCGGGACCTGGCCCCTCTCGAAGCATACTCAGAAGTGACTGGCTACTCGAGACCCGAGACCTTCCCAGGCCAGGACCCGACCGTCGCGTCCCGGCGCGGTGTCAGGGACACCGCGCCGGGACGCTGAGGACGCCGGGACGCCGGCACCGGGACGCCCGGGAGTTCGAGAGTTTTTACGCTCCCGAACTCCCGAAGGCACTTTCGGTTTCGGTTGTAGTTTCGGCAGGTTTGCCGCCGATAACGAGATTAAACCGAAAGTCGTGTTTTTGCCGAAACTCACCGATAACGAAACCCAAACCGAACGTTCGGTCGGACACTTATAATGTTGTAATATACTATATGTATATGAAAGCAATTGTCATAAAAAAATAGATAGTTGTAATTATATTACCGTTTGTGTAAATTAAAATAAAAAAAGGTTGTTATGTTGACTCTCCAAGTGTCCAAAATACATTTTAGTGCACACTACTGTGTACAAATAGCCTGTAAAATTAATTGTCATGAACTTAATAAATGTGTAATTTGGTAATTTTCATTATTACAATATTAAATGTTAATATATGTACAGTAAAATATGTATATAACTTGTCCACCAGCGATAAAAAGCTGTTTAAATTAATAAATTATTAGAGGATGGAGTTCTTTGGTACAAACCATAAAAAATCCGAATTTAGGACTCCCTGTTTTCCTCGGATTAATAAATTGTATATAAATAAACAGTATACTGATGTCTTCTATTTATACAATAGATATATTTAACAAAAATAAAAATATTCATGTACTCACCAATGGTCTTAAGGGTGAGAATCAAATAAGAAATTAAGTGAATGTCCATACGTTTCTAATAGTAATTTTGTATATAATAAATTAATGAATTAACATTTAATTATGATTTATGTAATTGTAAATAATGTAGTAGAATGAAACGTTTTAATCAAATATTCAATTTAAATACGTAAATGATGTTAAATGTTTTCGTATTAATAATAATGATTGTCTATATATAATAATCCGAAACGTTGAATGTGCAAGAATTCTCGATATGATTGTCAAATCAAAATATGTAATTATTACTGATTCATTTATGATGATTGTCTGTGGGTAGTGTCTATAGACAAACAACCCAGGGCCATCTAGGCCTGTTAAAAGTAACATGTATATAAAGGCAAGAAAGTACATTTTGGCAGATAATATGTATGTATTAAAAATTAATTGATGTAAATAAAGTAGATGCATGGAATATCTTGTTTTAATATTCAAAATTACTCTATCTATTATATCTATCCCCTGATATGTTTATTAAAATAATCCTAAATAATCTTTATTAATATCATAATAATAATACGTGTCCATTACATCTATATATATAAAATTCAAAGGTGATTGACTGACTGACTGACTGACATAGTGATCTATCAACGTACAGCCCAAACCGCTGGACAGATTGGGCTATAATTTGGCATACAGATAGATGTTATGACGTAAGCATTCGCTAAGAAAGGATTTTGATAATTTCCACCCCCAAGGGGGTAAAAAAGGGGATGAAAGTTTGTATGAAACTTTGTCAGTTTTTAACTGATCGGGTTGAAATTTGGCATGCAGATAGATGTTATGACATAAGCATCCGCTGTGAAAGGATTTTGATAATTTCCACCCCCAAGGGGGTAAAAAAGGGGATGAAATTTTGTATGAGACTTTGTCAGTTTTAAACCGATCGGGTTGTAATTTGGCATGCAGATAGATGTTATGACGTAAGCATTCGATGTGAAAGGATTTTGATAATTTCCACCCCCAATGGGGGTAAAATAGGGGATGAAAGTTTGTATGAGACTTTGTCAGTTTTAAACCGATCGGGTTGTAATTTGGCATGCAGATAGATGTTATGACGTAAGCATCCGATGTGAAAGGATTTTGATAATTTCCACCCCCAATGGGGGTAAAATAGGGGATGAAAGTTTGTATGAGACTTTGTCAGTTTTAAACCGATCGGGTTGAAATTTGGCATGCAGATAGATGTTATAACGTAAGCATCCACTTTGAAAGGATTTTGATAATTTCCACCCCCAAGGGGGTAAAATAGGGGATGAAAGTTTGTATGAGACATTGTCAGTTTTAAATCGATCGGGTTGAAATTTGGCATGCAGATAGATGTTATGACGTAGGCATCCGCTGTGAAAGGATTTTGATAATTTCCACCCCCAAGTGGGTAAAATAGGGGATGAAAGTTTGTATGAGACATTGTCAGTTTTAAATCGATCGGGTTGAAATTTGGCATGCAGATAGATGTTTATGACGTAGGTATCTGCTGTGAAAGGATTTTGATAATTTCCACCCCCAAGTGGGTAAAATAGGGGATGAAAGTTTATATGAGCCTTTGTCAGTTTTAAACCGATCAGGTTGAAATTTGGCATGCAGATAGATGTTATGACGTAAGCATCCGCTTTGAAAGGATTTTGATAATTTCCACCCCAAAGTGAGAAATAGGGGATGAAAGTTTGTATGGGACTTTGTCAGTTTTAAATCGATCGGATTGAAATTTGACATGCAGGAAGACGTTATGACGTAGGCATCCCCAAGTAAGGATTTATGATCATTTCCACCTCCAATGTGGTAATGTAGGGGATGAACGTTTGTATGAAGCTTTGTCAGTTTTACACCGATCGGGTTGAAATTCGGCGTGCAGATGGATATTATGACGTAAACGTCCCTTTAGAAAGGTTTTTGAACATACTCACCCCAAGGTGGGTAAAATAGGGGGTGAAAGTTAGTATGATACTTTGCCAGTTTTAAACCGATTGGGCTAAGACTTTGCATGCATAAAGTTACTATGACATAGGTATCTACTTAGGATATATCTAAAGGATATGATAAATTCCACCCCTAAAGGCCTAAAGGGATAAAATAGGGAATTAGAGTTTGTATAAATCTTCTTAGCCATTGAATGTAGAATCATTGAATCTTTTAGAATTACATTCGGTAAAACGATGATTTGGGACCTGGGTAACGTTTGATAGTATTTATCACAGATGTCCCACGGGAACGGGAACTATGCGTCAATGCCCCAGGGCTCTCTAACTCTTAACCACTGAACTTATTTTAGAGAGATTCGGTACAACAATAGTCGATAGAATAGTTTTTATTACCCAAACCTTACGTGATTGGGCACTGTACTGGTAAGATCCCTGCGGGATTATTTATTTATTGAAACTACGATAAATCATTTCAAAATAGGTAAATCTTACTCGAGCACTGAATTGATTCTGATTAATTCTGTCAGAAGTCATTAATCTACGCGGACGAAGTCGCGGGCAACAGCTAGTTTATATTAAAGTTGTCTAAAGGGCCTCTGCGCAGTTGGCTTCGGCCCCTCGTACGCCTCCCAAATGACCGGGACCCTGTGGTCCCGTGAATGGTAAAGACATACTAAAGTAAACTATACTACAGTAAAGTAATACTAAAGTATTGTAATAATTACATTGTTTCGGTAGGTGCCTTAACCATCCATAGTTTCTAGTTTACCGGTCCACAGTAAAAAAAGATAGGGCTATGTCTGAAGATAACCCAGCCCTATCTTTTTTCCATTATCCACAATAGTTGTACACTAACCGGGGACTGTCCTTGGGTGCATTTCCATAGTGCATACAGGGATAGTCGCCGGTTTGTGTGTCCATTACTAAACGTGATTAAAGTTATCTAAAAGGCCTCTGCACAGTTGGCTTCGGCTCCTCG